CCCTCTCAGCGCTGCAGTCAGAGCAGCAGGATGTTTACCCTCAGCGTCCAGACTGCAAATGAAGCGCGCATGCACCGGGATTGACGCCGCAAATTGATCACAATAATTAAAATAGCCTGCGCTTTGTACAGTGAAAAAAGTGGGAACATGCAACTTTTGTCAAAACAAATTAACATGGCACGGGACCACCATGTTTGTTTCGTTTTAAAGTGGGAAAACGTAACGTTAGTTTCTCAGGTAGCTCATCTGATACTTTCCTTACCGTGTTAGTAGGTTACAGACAGGGATAAGGTTGGCTACTTATTTTACTTTTAATTTCATTTGAATTAGCTTAAGCAGCGTTTATATTTTCTTTATAAATAAATTAACTTGCAAATTATGAGGGCAAGGCTTTTAAAGTTTAAATCTTCTGGCAAAAATAAAGTAAAGATCCTGCAATTTATGGAAGTAAAGCAGAATAAAATCCAGCAAGATCAGTAATATGTCAATTAATTATATGCCACATTCCCATGTAAATATCTGTCTTTGGAGGATGTGTTTTTTAGTACCCCTAGTTCTCTCATTTTTATCCCAAATACAATTTATAATTTGAATCACAGGGCTATTTTTATCTCTATGGTTCAGTATTTTCTCAAGTAGCAACTTTAACAGTTATACTTTCCTGTCTTAAAAGGCAGAACTCTATTAATCTAAAAAAACCTCATTTGTTGAAATGGGGGGGCCTATTGTTTGAACCCCTTAGGGGCTTTTAAAAAAAAATGTCTTTTTTGCGCTTTTATGAAACAAAGTACCCTATATTTTGTGGATGTACAGCTACATTTCTCATGTAAGTTTGCGTAGTTTTAACACAAACATTTATTTTTCATATTGCACCAGTACAGTTAATGAGCAACCTGTACTTGTGTGCTTGTTTGTTCTGTCTAAAATGTTTATTTTGGAATAAAGAGTATAAAATATAAAAAAATATTTTTTGTCCGATTCATCGATTAATCGAAAAAGTAATCGGCCGATTCATCGATTTTTTAAATAATCGTTAGTTGCCGGACGAAGTTGTGGAATTTAGACCTCATTAACAGCCAATGGAATATAAACACCCAACACAGTTCCAGCAGCAATTTCATGGGTCTGGCAGGAAGAAAGATGCAGTTACAAAGTAAAATATATCCACTTTGGAGGAAATACAAAATAAAATCTGTTAATCGCATGGGAGAACAGTCTGTTTTGTCTGTACATCGCGTATATACCAATTATGACAGACTTGTGCAAAAACAATCAATGAAAAATAAAAATAAAAATGCTTTACCTATGATAGTTAAAGAGTGACCCTTTTTGAGCATTGCAACAACAACAAGGGAAAGTAAGCACAGCTTATCACTCTCCTCGAAACAGAAAAAAAAACTTCAGGAGGACAGAAAACAGATATAGTGAAGCAGTCATCCTCTTTGAGCCTCACAATAAACAAAATAACAAGGGGCAGACAGAATCAACTCTCATTGCCTAAGTGAGCATATAAACCATCTACAACCTTTCAGCATATAAGAGTTCTTAATCTGTTCTGGTTTCAGATGCTGCACAGACTCAATAAGTGGGGCTTTGCTTTAAAGCTGCTCCGACGTTTATTTATTCATTTATTTATATTCAATAAATTTTCATGATCTGTCCAAATCAAATGTGCAAAACTGTTATAATTTGTGCAGCACAGAAACAGGTGGAAATACAAAAATCTTACTGATCTGCTCACTCTGCCTAGTTGGAGCCTATCTATTTTAGTCAGCATGACGTGAAAAAAGAAAAAAATCAGACCGGAGAATAAAAAGTCGGACACAACCGATGTGACTGAGGAATTAATGTTTTTGTTGTTTTCGTGTCTTACAGATCCCCCCACATTATCTGTGAGCTGTGGGGCTGCCTTTCTACACATGAAGATGGGACTAAACTGAACCAAGCTGCAATAATGCATTTACAGTAATTATTGATCAAATCGAGGAATCTTATATTTCAATGGGCTTAATGTCTTTATTGGTTTTTAATTTGCTTTGTAATGAAATATTAGAAATATCTTAGAATATATCAGAAATCTATTTTACATTGGATGCATTTATTGTTTCTGTTACCTGGATTACTGGATTTCTGTTACCTATTGTTTCTGTTCAAGTTACATGGATACAGTATTATATTCAAATGTCCTACCTGTTAATCAATATAGAAGTAGTCTGTTTAACCTCATAAAAACAGATAGTTTAGGAATTTTATCAGACAGTGTGTTTAATTCAGGAAAAACTTTCTACCAGTTCAGTTTTAAATAATAATCAAGAAACCAACTTTTTTACTTCACTCTTTTTTTTTTTCCAAAACTAGTTTTTCCACTAAAAGCAATACAGATTTTTCTTTTAGAGGATTTTCAGAAATACATTTTTTGTAAGTTGATGGATGTTATTATTAATATTACAGTATGTATTTATTACAGATATATATATATATATATATATATATATATATATATATATATATATATATATATATATATATATATATATTTTTTTTTTTTTTTTTTTTTTTTTTTTTTTGCAAGAGAGATTAGTTGAAATTCCAGTAATCTTTTCTCAGTGAGTGTAGTTAGAAATGATCAGGTTACTTATTCAGTGATGCCCAGGGGTTACTATACCTAATTATTGACTTTAAGCTGCACGGTTGATCACAGGTTTCCATGAAGTGGAAACGTTTGCTGACTGATTTCTGTGCAGCAAACTGTCTCCACCAACCCATCCCTTAATGTCCCTCCAGTAGAACCCATCAGAACCGAACCTGCTCTCTGTGAGCTGATGTCTAGCAGTCTCTGACGGTCGATCTCCTCCTCGTACTGGATGAAGGTTTTTTCCACCTCTGAGAAAATTTCTTCGGCAGCAGCAGTTAGTCTCTGTCTGATAAACTCTCTCAGAGGCTGAACTGAACACATTGTTGCTGTGGGGACTCACAATGGATCATCCAACACCGATAAACACAGGCTAAGCTCATATAGGAAGTAACTGACACCACCCGGAAGTTCCTTACTCTAGTGGTTAAAAAGTGGTACTGCCACCTGCAGGACAGAAGTGTAACTGAACCTAAAAACCAAATCCTGGAACACAAACAGAACCAAAGTGCTGACATTTTTGAAAGGTAGACTGTGTTTTATATTTGTTATATAATTAAACAAATGATTATAATTTATGGTTATATGCACGATTTGGTAAATATTATCCTATGGCAATATCTTAAAATATATTTTATTTGCTCATATCAAACCACTCTATCCACCCTTTTTTTAAATTACACATTTAGGCACTGACTGCTGAAAATAAACTGTTTATTCTGAACATTAGAAGAAAATTTAAAGCTAAATTAGAGAGTGATGGTGATCTAGGTTCTCAGAGAAATAGAAAAGTTTCATTTTAAAATGTTACTTTAAATTAATACTTGCAACTGATACTTCCAATAAAACTGTATAAATAGTTGTCTCAAGCATTATTTTTAACAATTTACTGCACATTTGTCGAAATCTAGCTTTCATGTCTAAAACCTGCTGTTTGGTGCCTTCCTCAGCCTAAAATTGGGCTACTGCATTCAATTTTTGCTACCAGTTTAAGCAGAGAGGTGATGTTATTTAGGAGATCTGACATCAGTAGCGCTTTCCTGAGGTTAACTTAGGGACTGACAACAGACTAAATGATTTTCTTCTAATAGGAGATGAAAATAAGCAGTGATGTCCTTCATTATAGAAGTTAATTAAAAAACAATAATTTAAAATTAGAGGAAAAAAAGTCTGCATCATCGGTCCAGTCTAGTATGATTTGATATGGGTTTTGAGTTAGTCAGTCACATCACCTAAAATGTTGATTAAATCGTCCATAATTTCTCTCCTGTAACCACCTGAATCGAATGGCTAAACCACCTCACTGGTATAAAGTCAAGCTATGCAGGACTCTGCTAATAATAATAATAACAATAATAATAATTATGGAACCTAATTGATCTCACATTGGAGAAATTCACCTCTAATGAGCTCATCTTAGAGTGAAAGCAGAGATACAATTAATAATCCCTCCAAGACTGTAGTTTATACCCACTGACCTAAAAACTATAGAAGTAAAGCTATAAAATCATATAATCTGAAAAAATAAGCATTTAAAAATAAATTAAAAGTGGAGTGAAAGTTTTTTCTTCTGTGGCTCTCGTGGGACGCTCTTTCTCTGTTTGCCATTCTCTCCCTGTCTATCCTACTTAGCTTCTGTGTTTTGTCTTCTGTTGGAGCCTCTCTTCACATATCTTCCAAAAACCTACAACCTGAATCATGGATCTGGTCAGCTGGTCTGTTTACGCAATTGATAAAATTTTCTCTACAGGCAGACATGGTGAATGAGAAGCCTTAGAGCACATATGTCAAAATCAAGGCCCGCAAACTGTTTATCCATGGCCCCTGGATGATATTTAATTATCATTAGAACCGGCCCACAGGCCATGGCCTTCCCCTTTCCCTCAATCCAAGCTGGGCTGAAGTCGTTTGTCTAAGGAGGTGGAGTGCACCAACTGCGCTCCGCAACTGCTCTGCACAGGTGTCAGCAGAGGCTGATTGAATCCAAAATAAAAGGAGCCTTCCTTCCATCGTTCCAGGTAAGCAGAGGCTGGGAAACATGAAAGACCCAACAGAAACATCTGGTTTCTGTTACCACTACAAACACAAGCCAGGAGGAATAGATTCAGGTTTTTCTACAAATCATACAAGTAAAAATACTCTGCAGGTTCTAAGAGAATCAACAGGAGGAGGAGAAATATTATTTTCTATTAAAAGAAGAGAAACAAAATGAATCAACAAGCTGAGATTTATGAGAACCTTTAAATCTGTGGGCAAAATTCTGCTTATCATAAAGTTTGGATCTGTTATTTTGTTTGATTATACTGAGTATAAAAGCAATTCTGTGCATGTTGGCAAAGTTACAGAGGACAAATAATGGGTCATCTAATAAACAGGATGTTCCTTTATTCCAGAGAGATAAAGATGCATGGATAAACGATAAAGGAAGGATCGCAGCAGTGAGCTCAGATCACTCGTCACATTGCATGAACTCCATTTACTAAACAGCAGAAACCTCAAAGCAACGAGGAGTGTACTTTGGCACGTTTGATGAACTGCTGATCATTTGAGGATAAGCGTGTTCGGGCCAGAACACACCGACTCTGCGCAACTTTTTAATCTGTGTATGGAGAGGCTACCACTTGGCAGGGTGGGTAGATCTGCACAGATTTGTTTCACTTCTGTCTCTGTGTTATACACATATTGTTGATATCCGTCGGATCAGACTCAAAATCGGATTCGGTGTGTTCTGGCCTTTAGCAGCAGAAACCTTCAAACATTAGGAACATTTTAGAAAAGGATCAAGACACTCATCACTTAATTTAAGTTTTTCTTTAGCTTCCTGCAATGAAAAAAGCAAGAAGTCAAGTTTTAACCGTTTATATTTCCTAACACCTCATGTTAACTTCGATTCAGAGCTGCTCCTTCCCAATGCCGCACAATGACAGCGTGTTCCTCCTGTGGATCCTCATGTGTGCAGTTAAATTACTTTTCCGCTGGAAGTGTTTGCCACAGGTCAGACAGGGGAACGGCTTCTCGCCCGTGTGCGTTCTCATGTGGACGTTCAGATTCCCTCTCTGACAGAAGCTCTTGCCACAGATCAGACAGGGGAAGGGCTTCTCTCCCGTGTGAATCCTCATGTGGACTATCAAGCTGAAATGTTTGCGAAAGCTCCGGCCGCAGCTGAGGCAGGTGAAGGGGTTCCCACCTGTGTGGACCCGCAGGTGTTTGGTCAAGCTTCCCTTCTGAGTAAAAGCTTTGCTGCACATTTTACACGAAAACAGATTCTGATTCTCATCCCTCCTGGATCTGCTTCCCTTCCAACATTGTTCCTTTTCTTTCTGCTCTTCATCAGGGCTCAGTTCATCAGGACCACCTCCTTCCTGATCTTCATCATCACCTGCTAGGCATGTTTCAGGTGGGATCTGGTCCCAGTCGGGTTCTAGGTGGCTGTGTTCTCCTTCCTCATAAGATGGACTCCCCATGAAGGCCTCAGTCTCCTCCTTCAGACGAGCATGCTCTTCTTCCTCACCCGTGTACAAATCATCTGGTTCTTCTTTAATCTGCAGAGATTCTGGTCCCTCATTCAGAGGTTCTGGGTCTGGTTCCTCCAGCCCAGAAAGGTTCTCCTGGTTATAGAGCGGCGGCTCAATGAGATCATCATCATTAGTACTGAGAAAACGTTTCTGGAACTCTGAAGAAAGAAAAACACAGAGAAAATAATTATCAGTCAGAATCACTGGATCCAGTCACATCATCCACCATGAGCAGCACCGCTTCCAACTCCTCAGATGTTCTATGGTTCTGCACCTAATCTGGATCAGGCTAGAGCCATGGAGATAGGAGAGTTCTGGCAACATATCAAACCAGCTGTGACGCACAGAGATTAACAGTTGGAGGCAGGTTAGCTGATCATGCTAGCATTGCCATAGATATTAGTAGAGGGTGGCTATTGTGCATCATTATCTCAGTGGCTCACCAATCAATGTTAGTTAGCGTGTTTTCCCCTGAAATGTAACCAATTTAGAAAAAATGAACAGGTATTTAAAGCTAAAAAGTTTCCAGATGAAAAAATAAGGAACTAGTAAAGAACTAGGAGGGCGCAGTCCTCCACCAAGCAGCTAATTTTCCCCTGACATATTGTGACTCCCTAAAGGGAGATCTTTTTACATTGGGCCCATGATTTTACGTTATTACATCATGTTCTACTCACTCATATGAGTTTTGTGTAATTTAGAGCCGTTCTGAAGATATTCTGTTAGGTTATAACCAAGTAACGACTTTCTATGGGCAAACGACTTGAAGGCACAAACTAAACTGTTCATAATTTATCATTTATGGTACGCCAGCATTCATAACATGTAGGAGAATCACTGTCCCCCAGACATCCGCTGTTATATTTTTTATATTCATATTTTTTTAAAACAAAGCAGCGCGTTTATGACTTTATAAGGTAATACCTGTATTCAGACATTCAAATGGTCACTTGGCCATTGAATTATTTATAATTAAAATTCTAACACACACATATACACACTAGAGATAGAGAGAGGCAAATAAGTTTAACATCCTGCTATTTTGCAAGTTCTCTCACTTAGAAATCATGGAAGGGACTGAAATTGTCATTGTAGGTGCATGTCCACTGTGAGAGACATAATCTAAAAATAATAATCCAGAAATCACAATGTATGATTTTCTAACTATTTATTTGTATGAAACTGCTGCAGAAAAGTATTTAAACAACTTACAAAATCAATGTTAATATTTAGTATAGTAGCCTTTGTTTGCAATTACAGAGGTCAAACGTTTCCTGTAGTTTTTCACCAGGTTTAAATACACTGCAGGAGGGATTTTGGCCCACTCCTCCACACAGATCTTCTCTAGATCAGCCAGGGTTCTTGGCTTTTGCCGATAAACATAGTTTGAGCTCCCTCCAAAGATTTTCTATTGGGTTAAGTTCTGCAGCCTGGCTAGGCCACACTAGAACCTTGATCTGCTTCTTACAGAGCCAATACTTGATTATCCTGGCTCTGTGCTTTAGGTCATTGTCTTGTTAGAAGACCCAGCCTCGACCCATCTTCAATGATCTAACTGATGGAAGGACGTTGTTCCCCAAAATCTCACAATACATGGCTCTGGTCATCCTCTCCTTAATATAGTGCAGTCGCCCTGTTCCATGTGCAGAAAAACACCCCTAACGCATGATGCTACCACCCCATGCTTCACAGAAGGGAATGTGCTCTTGGGATGGTGCTGATAATTCTTGTTCCTCCAAACACGGTTAGTGGAATTGGCAATTTCCCCATAGCCCTTTCCAGCCTTGTTGGGGTGTACAATATTGAAAGCACATGAAATCTGTTGACATGTTACTGATTCGGCAGGATCCTGGCTACTATATGGCAGTAGTTGCATTGGTTTTTCAGTTTTCATTTCTTAGATTATACCATCCAAAATTCTAACTATCCCCTCACTTGAATGTGTTCTGCATTATAGAATCCAGTCTTGATCAAAACCTAAGGGTCATAAGCTATAGCAATTATTGCCACCTTCTAACATCAATTTTGGCCAAAAAGTATTTCCATTCGATAGAAAGTTTTATACTTATATTCTGGGCAAGACCCCTAACCCCCGATTGCTCCCCGGGCGTCCCATGATGGCAGCCCACTGCTCCCAGAGGGTAAATTTCTCTAATGTGAGATCAATTAAGTTCAATTATTATTATTATTTTCAAAACATGGCCCTATCTCCCGATGATAAAAATCCTACAAAAACAAAAGCTCTGGATCCAGGGAGATGTGGATCATCACCAAAATATAATCATATGTTGCCAGTCACAACATGCACCTTCTCAAAAAATTTCTGCAGTTTTTTTCTATTTTGAAAACAGACAAACTAATGCCATTGGGCATATAACCTCTTTGTCGGAGGTAACCATAATACATCTCTCACTATAAACAGGAATATAATATGGAGTAGAAACTCTCAATCCGTTGATTTTTTTTTTCTATCATGGTTTGGATTTTGAGAAATAATTACCAATAGTATCTGGTTTCACATTTCTGCCAGGATTTTGGATGAGCTGAACTACTGGATGCCATAGCAATCTGACTTTTCTTGGTCTTTCAGTGGCGAAAATGTCCTACCTCCATGGCTCTGGATCGTCTATAAAAAATATTTTCACCGAAACTTTCTCTCAACTAATAAATCATGTGAAATATAGGACCACCTCTCAGTAGGTTTCGGTCTCCATTACAACCTTTTCTTTTTGCTGCTGCCTTTTAAAAGTCGCCATATCGATTCATCTTGTTCCATGTCCTCTTTCCCTCTGTCCTCCAGCATGGCAGCTCTGGAAATGTCTAACCATCTCAGTGTGACCTCATCTAACATGAGCTGAAATCATTCCTAATCCCATCCATCATCATCACCATCATCTCTGGTCTCCGCTTCAGTGTCGTCTATGGACTCACCACCTCTAATTCTTGCCAACACCTTTCCCCACCCATGTTTGGACCCGTTTCTCCACCAATGGTTCCTGTAGCTCATGACCCGACAGGAGGAGCTAGTTTCCTAAATCTGCCCTCAGGGAGCTGAGCACAGAAAGTGAGCTGCTGATTTGAGCTTTGGGGGGATTGACAGATGTTACCATGGAGACAGTCAAACCACATCCCTTTTAGGAAATGATACGTTTAAAAGTAAAACGAATCTTCAACCAACACCTTATCGCAGTTATCACAGGCAATTTAAAGCTGCTTCTGGTGGTTTGTTTTGAGGGGCAGCTGAGGAGTGTGTTTTTTTTTAAAACCCCATAACGAAACAGACAGTAGATACCAACTAAATTAACTAATTTATTTTAATTTGCCGGTTACCGGACCCACCTGCGGGGTTCTGAACGGCTCGGGGTCTCCAGCTGATGTCCAGCAGTCTGCGCTGACGGTCGATCTCCTCCTCGTACTGGATGATGGTTTTTTCCACCTCTGAGAAGATTTCTTCAGCAGCAGCAGTTAGTCTCTGTCTGATAAACTCTCTCAGAGGCTGAACTGAACACATTGTTGCTGCGCAGACTCAGACTGGGTCCCCACACGATAACAAAAACACAGCTAAGCTAACGATGCTAACGACCGCACCGGATGTTACCGAACACAACTGCTTCCTGTTTGAAAAATAGGTGATACATTAACTTAGCTAGCGCCCCCTTCTGGCAGGAGGCTAAAACTGATTTAAATAAATAAGCATTGCATTCAAAACTTTAAAAAAAAAATAATAAAAAAAGTGTTTAAAGGGTTCCATCGTTTTTTTTTTTGTTTCTTTGCTGATTATGATAAAATATTTTAAAGCAATAAAATCCAAGTCAGTAAATTTAGCAAAGAGCAGAAATAATTCAGTCATTTATTTTATGTTGCCACAGGGAAACCATAATTATATCCCAGTTTATGAGTTTATTGGAGCTTCTGTCATGTCCAACTATCCAAAAGAAAAAAAACTCAAACAGTTCATATTAGCATTCAGAACAGAAAGATCCACAATGGAAATACAGACGAAATGAATCGGCTACAAAAGAAAATTTTAAATTCTTTACATGGAACTTTTCCTGCAATGAAGGACAATCTGACATCAGCTCACTAGCATTAGATACTTATTAAAGCCCATTATTATCACCTTTATATTTTTCGCCAGTTTTGGTTAATTAAATGGAACAATATTTATCCACTTGTTCTAAGAGTACAAATAAAGCAGTTGTAAACACGTTGCCCTTTTTCTTTTTCTGCGCAAAATTTAATTACTGTAAAAGTCTCCCCCCCCCTCATAGTAACTCAGTAAATGTTTTTTTACCTCTTTGTATTTGTTAAGAAAATAATGAAAAAAAGTTCAAGCAAAGCTGAATCAATATTAATTTAGAAAAGCTTGGACGTGTTTTAGTAATTAGGGGAACAGCACTAAGTTGGTTTTAATCTCATCAGCCTGACAGATTTCTGACAGTTTGTTCACGTCAATAAAACATTTTTTAAGCTACGGGGCTACCTGTGGAGTACCTCAAGGATCAGTGCTAGGGCAAATTCTCTGCCTGTAGTCTATGTAAACCATTACATAGACTACAGGCATGTCTTCAACAAAAGCCTGAATGACTCTTTCTGCTCCTGAATGCAGACAAAACAAAAGTTATCTTTGGACCAGAGTTGTTTACTTCATTTGGATGGGATTAAATTGATCTGATAAAAATAAATCATGTTAATTTTGACTTTATGAAGATACACTATATTGCCAAAAGTATTTGCTCACCCATCCAAATTATTGGAATCAGGTGTTCCAATCACTTCCATGGCCACAGGTGTATAAATTCAAGCACCTAGGCATGCAGACTGTTTTTACAAACATTTGTGAAAGAATGGGTCGCTCTCAGGAGCTCAGTGAATTCCAGCGTGGAACTGTGATAGGATGCCACCTGTGCAACAAATCCAGTCGTGAAATTTCCTCGCTCCTAAATATTCCACAGTCAACTGTCAGCTGTATTATAAGAAAATGGAAGTGTTTGGGAACGACAGCAACTCAGCCACGAAGTGGTAGGCCACGTAAACTGACGGAGCGGGGTCAGCGGATGCTGAAGCGCATAGTGCGAAGAGGTCGCCAACTTTCTGCAGAGTCAATCACTACAGACCTCCAAACTTCATGTGGCCTTCAGATTAGCTCAAGAACAGTGCGCAAAGAGCTTCATGGAATGGGTTTCCATGGGCGAGCAGCTGCATCCAAGCCATACATCACCAAGTGCAATGCAAAGCGTCGGATGCGGTGGTGTAAAGCACGCCGCCACTGGACTCTAGAGCAGTGGAGACGCGTTCTCTGGAGTGACGAATCGCGCTTCTCCATCTGGCAATCTGATGGACGGGTCTGGGTTTGGCGGTTGCCAGGAGAACGGTACTTGTCTGACTGCATTGTGCCAAGTGTAAAGTTTGGTGGAGGGGGGATTATGGTGTGGGGTTGTTTTTCAGGAGCTGGGCTTGGCCCCTTAGTTCCAGTGAAAGGAACTCTGAATGCTTCAGCATACCAAGACATTTTGGACAATTCCATGCTCCCAACTTTGTGGGAACAGTTTGGAGCTGGCCCCTTCCTCTTCCAACATGACTGTGCACCAGTGCACAAAGCAAGGTCCATAAAGACATGGATGACAGAGTCTGGTGTGGATGAACTTGACTGGCCTGCACAGAGTCCTGACCTCAACCCGATAGAACACCTTTGGGATGAATTAGAGCGGAGACTGAGAGCCAGGCCTTCTCGTCCAACATCAGTGTGCGACCTCACAAATGCGCTTCTGGAAGAATGGTCAAAAATTCCCATAAACACACTCCTAAACCTTGTGGACAGCCTTCCCAGAAGAGTTGAAGCTGTTCTAGCTGCAAAGGGTGGACCGACGTCATATTGAACCCTATGGATTAGGAACGGGATGTCACTTAAGCTCATATGTGAGTCAAGGCAGGTGAGCAAATACTTTTGGCAATATAGTGTATCATGAATTGAAATATAATAGTTGTGCTGCTTTCATCGACATCTATGTTAGATATTTGAGTTGGGTCCCTTTTTCAGGGTAGTCCTGTTTCTCTTACCTTGGCTTACAGGATGTTCTCTTTCATTCTGACATCAGAACTGTCTCGGAGCGCGTCTAACGGTTTCTTTCCTGGATGAATCGCCTGTGGAGTCAGTTAACAGGTACCTTTTGTATCTCTGCTTCTTTTTTTATATCTGCTTCTATCTCCTTGAACTCCAGCCTCACCAGATGGACGCCCACGCTGAGCCTGGATCTGCTGGATGTTTCTTCCTCTTAAAAGCCAGTTTTCCTCCTGACTGTCACTGCATGCATGCCCGGTGTGAGAGATTGCTGAAGAGTCAACTAAGAAAGCTCATTCAGGAGGACTATTTTCTCTAAGTCAGTGACTTGATGCAATAAGCTGGTTTTCCTTGACAAAAAACATTAAACCAACCAGACTGTATTGTCTCTGTAAAGTGCTCTGAGATGACGTGTTTTCAATTTTAATAGATTTTACTAAGAAACAGTGTTGGAGAGACAAGCTGATGCTAGGATAACTTAAGAAGCTCTGTTGCATTATAAGATTTATTTAGTATAATAAGCATTTTACCAATGGATGTAGGCAAAATTTAAAAAAAACCTGTTGCTGAAATACATCAAAACTGAAATAAAAAAAATTATGTGTTTTAACTACTCTTCTATAAACTTTAAATATCAGTAAAGTCAAAGAAAGTGAGAGAAAAACTGAATTTGCATATTTTGCTAATATATCTTTCATATTCTGATGCAGGTAATGTTGCCAACAGCAAATGTATCGCAGCATAGTTGGCTGTTCAATGAGACGCAGACTTTTTTACACAAACAGAATAAATATATAAGAACGAATATATCTGAGGAGGAGTAGCTGGGACAGTTAAACAGGAAGAGAGCTCATTTACACTAGGAATAGTAACCAAATGTAAACATAATACATTTAAATTCTTTATTTAGGTTTATGACAGATGTGTGTTGGACATTTATTAAAAATACTCGACAAATCACACCCCTCGTTAGTTCAATAGAGGACGCAAAAATCAACCGCCAAATAACGGACGATTAAATTGTTGACAGGACGGTTAGCCTTAGCATAAAGATGCCTTGCTATCATTATTGCTTTCACCTGATCTGTAACCAAGTCGATATTTCTGTGGTTCTAGCGGCCAGTCAGCTGCCTGTTGCTGCTGTGAACTCTGCTGTGAACTCTTAAATGGGTGCTTTGACTGAAGCATTTTCCGCAGGTTTGACATGAGAAAGGCTTCTCTCCTGTGTGGGTTCTGCTGTGATCCGTCAGATGGCCTCGGACTACAAAGCTTTTCCCACAGGTCTGACAGGTAAAAGGCTTCTCCCCTGTGTGGATTCTCAAGTGAACATTCAATGTGCCTTTAGCGCTAAAGCTTTTCCCACAGATGGAACAGGTGAAGACCTTCTCACCTGTGTGAGTATTCATGTGGTCAGGCAGGTTCCTGCTGCTGAGGAAACCCTTGGTGCAGATCTGTCCCTGACACAGACTCTTATCTGAGTGGATCTTCAGGTGGACTCTCAAAAAGCCTCTTTGAGGGAAACATTTTCCACAGATGGGACATGAGAAAGACCTTTCAGATGTAGGAGTTTGCATGTGAGCAAGAAAGAACGTTCGATCTCTGCTTTCTAGACCTCTCTGTCTTTGGGGTCCCTCTTCCTCTGTAATCAGTCCAAAATCTTCATCATTCCTTCCTTCCCAGAACCGGTTCCCATCTGTAGGAATGTCCTGAGAGAGGATCTGCTCTCTGTCTGATTCTGGTTGTTCCTTATAAACAGTATTGATAAAGGAGGTATGGATGTCCTGCTTCTGGGGAAGAGGCTGTCCATCCTGACTGTTGCAGAATTCGCTGGGTTTCTCTTTTACAAGCAAAGCTTCAGATGCTTCTGGTTCTTTGACCTCCTTCTTTATCTGCAGATGTTCTTCGGTTTGCTTCTGATCCCAGCTAGAGCTTCTCTCCTGGCTGCAGGGTTGCAGCTCAGCAGGAGGATCTTCCTCCTTACACACAGAATGAGGTGGATAAGTTGAATCTGCAAAGGAAAACAGATCATGGTCACCATGGGGAGGAAACCTGATTGATTATCTAAAGGTATGAAGATAAGAAAGACGAGAACTATTCAGTAACATCCTGCAAAACTATCTGCAGGAGCTAAGAGGGAAAAACAAAGCCTGTGTCTGACCTAAAAACCTATATATTTAACCTCAAGGGGTTTACTCTCCACTGCCTCAAGGTTCTAACATAACAGTCATGTTTTTGTACTGTGGGAGGAAGCCGGAATACCCGAAGAGAACTCACGCATGCTCAGGGAGAACATGCAAACTCCATTCAGAAAGACCCCAGGCTGGGAATCAGTGCTACAAACTGCGACACCATGCAACGCAGCACAGGGCTCCAATAATTTTAATATCTGTGCAGTGAGTGAAAAACAAATCTGAAGTCTGCAATGACGGTTCTATTCCAGAAGCTCCTCAAACATAAAACCAGCACACAGAACAGAAGGGAGAAGTTTAACATCCATTCCTTGCCTACTTTGTGCCTCTCTAAGTGAGGATCAGTGACAGTCAGAGAGGACTGGAAATCCTCTTTTTTACGACCTGCAAAGGACCCAGTCCAGGTAGACCAATGGCTTCACCTTTCAGACTCTCTCTAGTTCTTCCCTGTGCTCTTGGTTTTTTTTCCAATTTCTCATGTTTATTTCCCTGATGTTTGCATCATTTGGGATTGGCCACATCAATCACTATGGCTTTATTCTGTTGGTATCTGGAAGACGCACAGGATCTTTCCTGTTGTTTTTCACCACCTTCGGAGGTGGCTACACTTTTAACATAGGGGTCATCAGTTTGTATTCTGAACAGATGTTTCTGTAGACTATAACAGCCACTTGGTTATATCATTCTATGTATTCCTTTCCAGACAGTATCTTCTTAATTTGACAAGCAAGTAAGTGCACATAACTGGGTGAAAGGAGACGAGAACGTACCGTTTAAAAATACTGCTGGGTATATAGAAATTTAACTTTACATATTTGTACTCTCAATATCTTTAAGGGTGTGCCTCATTGTCTCATCTAGTAGAATAGTTTTAAACATGTTTTGAGGGACGGGTTATATTTACATGACCTAAAGCTATTATGGAAAAACTGTACTTTTGCTCATTTCGAAATTCCTAAATAAAATATGAGAAGGCTTAAAATGGAAGAAGAAAAATTAGCGTGCCACAGTCCAGCCTAGTAGAGCAATTTAACACAGATTTTGGGTCAGTGGTTAACGTAACATTGAGGAAAAAATATACATTTTGACCAAAAAAAGTCTTTAAAAAAATATATATATAAAAAAAAAGACTTAGAATTTAATTAAAATGGGTGTGCCTCATTCTTATAATCTAGTAGCAGTATTTATCATTGGATTTATTTAAGACAAGGGACATATTTATTTTTATTTCTCAAGTGTGGTTTGGAAACTTGTTGACGGTCCCTAACAGAACCACCGCCGGTGAGAAGAGGGAGCAACAAAGAGCGGCTGGCTGAAGTCTGAGCTCCTGAATTGGATCTACTGTGAGATCAGTGCCACTAACTCAGCGGAGCTTGAATATCCAGCTTCAAACTAACTTCCCCGTGGTAAATTTTGAAAGAAGCCTTCGAGTTGACAAAGTTCTTGCTCTCCGCACATCCCATACTGCCGAGTTCTTTCTATATTGTGGCATTTTGAAACAACTTTTTCAAGAAGAACCAGCGCCATTGCAGCCACCCAAAAATTCTGCAAGTAGCTATTTGGACAGCTTAGTGACAGCACTATGCGGGGCTATTTGGTATTTCAGATATCTAAAAATTTTATTTTGACTATTTAGAATTGAGTTTTAGATATCTGGATTGTAACTCCAGGTGTGATACTTCAAATGATATCTCTAAATGCATTTTGACTCTCTTAAAATGTGATTTAAGATATCTTGAATTGATATTTTCCCTGGTCATAATATAATTTCAGATATCTTAAAATGTCATAAGGTATAGTCAAAATTTAGATTTTCCAAGTCAAACATTATATTTGATATCTTAAAAATAATTACTGATAGTCAGAAGAATTAAATAAATAAAAAGTTAAAAATAAAATAATGAGGGTGATTTTATGATAAAACGGCCTGCCACAGTTGGTCGTTCAGACAAAGGTTACATTTCAAAAGATTCAGGACCACATAGCCAAGTGGCCTGGGTCGCATTGGAACAAATAGGATCTGTGTTGTTATGACTTTCATGAATAGATCAGATAAAGGTCACATGTGGGTGAAAGAAAAAAAAAATCAGGTTTTGGTCACTTCAGCCTAGGAGACAATGCAGGATTGTAGCCATGCATAACTGATTCTAAAAATTTCATTAGCAATGATGTTAGTTTTCATTCATTAAGAGCAACCAACACATCTGCATATTCATATGGAGATGTGCATATTCTGACAAACCAAATTCATAGTGCTGTTTGACTTAATGATATCTAAGCTTTTTTTTTTCCTCGCTCTCTTTCTCTCTCTCTGCGGATATCACATTTTAACTTGGATGGCAGAGCAGAGCGCAAAATGTGAGATGTCCTTTTCCATGTCCTTAGAAACTGGCCAATGTTTATAACTTTACTGTAATTGAAAAAAAAGAAAGGAAAAAGGCTCTGCATCCCAGATGATACATTTATGTTTGAGTTGAAGTTATTACACTTCGCTTTAGCCTTCAGTCAGCGTGCTGTCATATTCAGAAATAATCAACAACAAAAAACAAACAAAATATAAAAATAAAAAAAAATCATCAAGATATCTGAAATTATATTATTACTAGGGAAAATTAGCCTGCTAAACCAGACTAAATGGGAGATTAAATGTGTAATTTAGTCTCGCCCAGATGAATGAGACATCGGAAGATTGTTGATGAGAACAACCCGTTGTTTTTCAAACCATGTCTGTGCCTATTGGCCAACGCTCTGACCAATGAGCACAACTGACTGTGATGTAGGAAGCTGGACAGAAACCTGGTGGGGGAGTGTAAACAAAAAGCCTGTCGGTAAAACGGCGAATACGTCTTTCTTAAAAATGGATGAGCGTAGAGCCTCTTCCTGCTCATGTTTCAATGAAAACCCCAAGCCTGATCCTTCCAAAACTGATTCCAAAGCTGAGTCAAAAATCGCCATCAGAGCCAGCGGTCCTTCACACAAGACTATGCCGAGAGAGGGCCGCTGCAGACGGGCAGCGGTTAGCCCTGGCTGCCGTTAGCCTCGGAGCTCCGTTGGTCGCGCGGTCCTCTCGACTTCGGAAAATTGACCATATAGTGACGCTTTAAAGTATAATATTCCCGCCTCAAATGATCTTAAAACATACTTTTATTGAACAACAGCAACAGAAAAGAGAAGAGAACTTTTAACACAGTGCTCCATTGAAAGCTGCTGCTGCAGCAGTGCATGCTACTGTTGTGCTTTCTCCAGCGTCGTGCAGCTTTGTCGTCACACCCTCAAAACCCCGCCCACTTTGCATCCAAAAATTCAAAAAACACATCTCTGCATTGTGATTGGCCTGCCAGTTCTAGGGCCTGGGGCATTGATCGGCCAGCGGCCAAAATAATTTTGGCTGCTGGCGAGTGGGGCTAGTTTACTAGGCTAATGCTGCGTTCAAACCGGACGCAGCTGGCGCGGCAGAGGCAGCGAGTTTACATGCAAAGTCAATGGTTGACGCGCGTCAAGGCGCAGCAAAAGGTCCCGCGCCGCGTTTTGAGCAGCAGGCGCAGCGCGTCTGAGCAGCTGAAGCAGCGTGTCAGGCGCGTTTAAGCATCTGACGCGCGTGGCGCGCCGCAAACGCACTGCTGCGCGAGATGGAAAAATTGAACTTTTGCTGCTCGACGCGCCGCGTCAACCAATCAGAGAAGCTGATCTGGGAGCTGACAGGGAGAGACATATCGCTGATGACACAGAGCGCTGTGATCGCTCCTCTGAAACAGTTTATTGACGCATAAATTAACTTAAAATGCAGAAATCTGCCGGCAGAATATGTTCGCTTTTATTATTCTGGTGCCTGCAGATCGGATTATTTAGATGGAAAACATCTAACAGCTGCCGCGGAGGCGACCGGGCCATAGGCTGCTGTTGAAGGGATTCCTACTGTTGGCGCACCGCCGGTATGTGGGGGTCTGAGCGGCTCCGACAGAAATAATATCAGAAGGTGGGATTGTAATCTGGTTTAAATGACTGCACTGATTAAGTTTTCAGGTGGACTTTCTCACTTAAAAACATCAAAAACTACTTTATTCCCACTGATCACAGCAAATATAGCTGCAAGGCAGAGTCAGACCCACTTTTGCACCGCGCAGAAAGAGCAGCAAAGCTGCTTCAGCCGCGCGTCAGAACTAACTGGTACAAGAAGCAAAAATGAAGCAGCAGAAGCGATTATGCTGCTCTTGCTGCGTCCGGTGTGAACGTAGCATATGACTCTTCGTTATGCAGCTGACAAATGCTTCTTTCTTTTTGCCCGTTTTAAAGGATGGGTCAGGTGTCTCCTATGTATCCTTGGATATCCCAGGATTCAATGCGAATCAAACAAAGCCAACTGCTCTGTGTTAAGAGAAAAAAGGTACTTGGCGCCAAACAGTGGGGAATATTGGAAGTGCAGTTTAATATAATACAAGTTTGTCAATAGTTCCATCTGAAATTAATGAAAATAGTTTTTGAAATAGTTATTTAGTCAGAAAACTGGCAGGTAATGTTTGGTTTATTGAATTGATTTTATCTGTCCCTGGGTAAATGAGTTTGGCTGTATTTTAAGGACAGATTCTAATATATCGGCAGCGTGGGGACTATAAATCTGACACGATGCAGCTGTCGAAGCTCTTCAAAAATATTAACACCCAGAACAGCAGTGAAAAGTTCGGTATTCATTCTTTTCCTGCTTTATGCGTCAACTCTAATGGTTGCTAGGCGACAGAGCGTACAGTGGTAAAAGCTGCAGCAGCCTAAAACAGCCAAAATGCTCCCTACACTATTCCCAAAGGGGATGGGTTAAATGCAGATAATTAATTTCCCTCTGGGATTATTAAAGTATGTTTTAAAAAATTATAATAATAAGTAACACACCCACTATTACATACTGGACGGGGAACCTTCCATTAAGCGGTCATGTTACCGGTCGGATTTTTAGTCACATAGCAACAAAAAAATATTAAACGAAACTTCCCTTAATGTCCCCCCAGTAGAACCCATCAGAACCGAACCTGCTCTCTGTGAGCTGATCCGGGGTCTCCAGCTGATGTCCAGCAGTCTCTGACGGTCGATCTCCTCCTCGTACTGGATGATGGTTTTTTCCACCTCTGAGAAGATTTCTTCAGCAGCAGCAGTTAGTCTCTGTCTGATAAACTCTCTCAGAGGCTGAACTGAACCCATCGTTGCTGCGCAGACTCACAATGGATCCTCACACACTGATAAAACACAGCTAAGCTAACGATGCTTCCGGCTGGAGTCACGGACACAGCTACTTCCTGTTTGTTCTGAAAGCCAGTAAGCAGAGGCACTACCGCCCTCTGCTGGAGAATAATCTCTGGAAATTTAAACGAAGAAAGTTGCCTCATAAACCAGATTAAATGTGAAATTAAATGTGTAATTTAGCCTGGCTCCGATGAATGAGACATCGGAAGATTGTTGATTTCTTGTTTCGTTTAATGGCGGTCGGTAAACAACTTTTCGGTGCATTACCGCCACCAGCTGGTGAGGAGTGTGGATCAGAATTGCCCTATTCATAAAGAAACTTATATTTATTTATCTATATATCTATAATATTACTTTACAAATACTAAATCCTCCTAATTATTCCTGTTATTATTAAATATTTAAATAAATATAGATAACGTTTTTTGACCATTTCTGCAGAATATCTATCAAATCAAATTTAACTTTCTCCTTATTTAGGTCTCTAACCAAATTCGTTCTTCTTCCTAAAAATTACCATTTGCCTGACACATGTTTCCCTATTTTGAATAGTGTATGATTTAATCCTGTATGTCCAAATCTAAGTCTTGAAATAACTGTTTCCTCTCTCCTGCTTCCTTCTATTATCCTCATTTCTCAGACTTTCCGTTGAATCCTATAAAATCATCTTCCTCTCCTGTCTTCTTTCCATTGTTTTTGCCACCTTTCCTGTATCCTTTGTTTGATGATACTATTATTGTTGTCTTACTTAAGTTAATCATCATATCAATGGTTTTATTTTGTGATGCTTCCTTAGCAATCTTGTCTGAAATTTCATTTCCTTTAATCCCTATATGTGCTGGCACCCAAATATATATAACACTAATACCTATCATTTGAACTTGATATAAAACTTGCTGTATTTCAATTAAAATGTCTGATCTACTTTGCGAACTATGATTTTGTACACTGATTAAAGCTGAACTCCAGTCTGAACATATAATTGATCCTGATGGTCTCACTTCCTCCATCCATTGTAATACCAATAATATTGCTAATAATTCTCCTGTATATACTGATAACTCATTATTTATTCTCCTAAGATTGTTGATGAGAACAACCCGTTGTTTTTCAAACCATGTTTGTGCTTATTGGCCAACGCTCTGACCAATGAGCGAAACTGACTGTGACGTAGGAAGAGCGTAGGAAGCTAGTGGGGGAGTGTAAACAAACAGCCTGTCAGTAAAACAGCAAATACGTCCTTCTTAAAAATGAATGAGCGTAGAGCCTCTTCCTGCTTTAAACAAAAACCCCAAGTCTAATCCTTCCAAAGTCTATTCCTTCCAAAGCTGAGTCAAATGAGAACTGTTCAATAGTTGCTGCCATCTTCCTTGTTGTGCTTTTTCCAGCTTCGCGCAGCTTTGTCGTCACGCCCTCAAAAACCCCGCCCGCTTTGCATCCAGAAATTCAAAACACATCTCTGCATTGTGATTGGCCCACCAGTCCATTGATTGAGGCTAGTTTATGGGGCTAGTTTACTTGGCTAGTACATTGGAGGATTTTTTTCAATTTTTTGAAAAGAACATCCCTCACCACTTGAAAAAAATATGCACATGTAAAACCCTGTACCAGCTCCCAAGAGATAACGCCTATTTAACGCGTTCCCATTTCTCAACATCCATGCTCTGTTTAAAAGTTGCTGTTTGCATCGCTCATACGAGCTTGTTTTCTAAAAGAAGATTTGCAATTTTTCCCCTATGTCAGACTCGTGGAGGATCAGGGGCCTGTTTCAGAAAGGAGGTTAAGTGAAAACTCTGAGTTTGTTAACGCTGAAATGAGGGAAACTCTAGGTTTTCTGTTTCAGAAAGGGAGGTAAGTTAAACCTGAGAAAGCAGAGTAAGTCAAGCCCGTTTCTGAAAGAGAGGTAACTTATACTCAGAGTCAGTTACCATGGGAATTTACTCTGTGAACCTAACCTGGTCGGGAGCAGGTTTTCTTCAGAAAATCCAGAGTTTATTTTGGTCTCCTCCCCTTTTTTAAAGAGGAAGTGGTGTTTAAACACCTCATTGATTCTTTGGGGACATACAGTATTCATTGCACACATTTCAGTCACGTAGAGCGCATCAAAGGGAATGAAATGGCATGTCCTTTTATGGATGATCCTGTTTGTAAAGCCAGGTAGCTACTCTACTCCCATGATGTGCTCAAGGCTTACCTGCTTGAAGTATGTTTTTATATTTCATTTTCAGCTGCTGCCATGTTCTTTTGATGCCTGTAGGATTGCACCTATCCATGAAAACTAAATTAGGTTTAATAAAATACTGTTCTTCCAGTTTCACCTCTGATATTATAACAGTTGGGTAAGTTACTCTAAAATAGTTCTTAATTACTAACTACAAATTTTATCTTCAACAAGTCTAATTAGATTAATGTAATAATTACTGTCTCTAGAAAGTATTGGTCTACTTACTAATTTGTTTTACTTACTTATTAATTACTTTCTAAATCCCAAATCAACCTCAACCACATGAACAATACAAGGAGAGACAAGAAACTGCACTTCTAATGCTTTCAAATAAACAATATTCAATTGCATGAATTAATCTTAAATTGACCAAAGTGTGTAACTAGAGGGAGAAAGCTCAAATTAAAATATACCTTTTAAAATTTGATATTAAATCCACTATTGTTTTATAGTCTTTAATTTAATTACAGTATTTATATGACTTAAGTAACTTAATTCATTACACCCAACACTGTATAAAAGTAATTAAAATGTAAACTTACGCATTGACTCGAGCAGCTATTTTCACCCAAGCTAACTCTCTCTCCTTCGCCGCTGCAGCCTTGTTGCTTTTTTTTTTTAAATACATGTTCAAATTCTGCATATGCTTGCATAAGCACATCCAGTTCTGCTGGTGAGAAATATGCACACCTTTTTTTGTCTGACGCTGTTGCCATGGTGAATCGTAATATCTGTGCTCCATTGATAATGGCTTTTTATAGTTGTGGTGCACACGCTTAACTCAGAGTCAGTCAATTTAGAGTTGATTGAACTAACTCATTTCAGCTGTTCTGAAACCCAAAACTCAGAGTTTCCAATCTCAGGATAAGTCAACTCAGAGTTCAAGTTTTAACTCAGAGTTGGTTGAACTTCCTTATTGAAACAGGCCCAAGCTCTGCCATATTTAAAAATAAATACAGAAATAAATAAATGCTGAATAAATAAATAAGGATACAATTAATTGCCCCCAAAAATACAATAAACAAATAAATGCAAGTATAAATCAAAATTTACATTGAGACACAAACGATAAATCTCTTTTAATTAGCTTCTTTATTTATTCTCCTTTGTAATAATTACCTTATTTAGTTATTGCTCATTATACTTTCAACTTTATTCATAAATTACTTATTTATTAATTTCTTGTGACGTCATGAGTACACTTTTGTTTCAATTGACCCATATGTATGCGCATGCTCCATACTTTCGTGCACATTTAATGCACAGGGTATTCAAAAGGCTTCTCATCCCTGTGAATTCTCATGTGTTCATTAAGAATAGATTCACAGGCGAAGCCTTCTCCAAATTAGACATTTAAATGGCCTCTCACCTGTGTGAATTTTCTTGTTTAGTCTAAGTACCTTTTTAATAAAAACCTTTTGCCACAAAAAGTACAGGAGAATGGACTTTTACCTGTGTGAAATATCATGTGTTAAAAGACATTTTTGATTAAAACTTTTGTCACATATTGTACTGGAGAACAGCTTCTCATCTGCATGAATTCTGATATAAGTACTGAGAGTTTGTTTACAAGGGAAGTTTTTTCCACAAGATACAAGTTTAAGAGACTTTTACCTATGTGAATTCTGATGAGTTTATTATGATTAGATTGGCAACAGATACATCAAATATCTGTGTCATTCTAATTGCGCTCCTGGATAAGTAAAGGACGCGTGGAAAACATACAAAAAAGTGACGATACAAATTCTTTCCTTAAAAAAAACAAACACGGTGTAGGTACCAGATTGACTCGGGCTGCCAGATTGACTCGGGGGCCTGCGCCTTTTGATGACGTCACATTACATAATTGTTTTAACGTTTGCACAATTGCGCAAAACATTTTGATTGGTCTGGACAGCTTACTAAAGTAATTATAGCGGGGTGTAGGTTTTATTCGAAAGCGGGATTGCGGTTTGGAAACGGACAATTTTAGGAAGAAATTCTCCATGGTCCCTGCGCCTTCCGATGACGTCACCGAATTCGCCATGGGCCTTGCGCCTCCCGATGACATCACATTATAGCAACGCCACTCAAACAAACTACATTGAGCCCGCGGTCTGCATTTGTAACGACAATAAATTCAGGAGAATGAAGCTAAAGGGATACAAAAAATAAACTTGTAATATTACAAAAACAAAAATACTACGAATTCAAAGTATATTCAGAGATTAAAGTCCCTCTGATACTGTTTAAGTGACTGAGAAACTGCAGATTTGCCACATTTAAGATGGCGGACGCTCATGACGTCATCAAAAGGCGCAGGCCCCCGAGTCAATCTGGCAGCCCGAGTCAATCTGGTACCTACACCGGTATGCATGGTCAAAAACTGTGTAACCCCCAGATTCCACATACTCCGTCAGCGCTCCGCTCCACTCCGTCCCGCTGACGTACGTCGTGCGGAGCGCTTGTCTTTCATGGAAATCAATGAGAGCTGTTCCACATCCACCGCTACTCCTCCGCACGTCTCCGTCCACGTACGTCTTCTCCGTCTGTCACCGACAAATTACGGAGCCTAGCTATTTTTTGCTCCGCTCCGGGCAAGTCAAGATCCGCAATTGCAATCGCACCAAACAGGAAAAAGAACATCGACAAATTCCGGTTCGTCAAATTAAAATATAGCAGCAACAGATCGGTGACTAGAAATTATAGCACAATTCTTATAAATATCAAAAAAAAAAAAAAAAAAACTAACACCGTTTATTTAAATGATTGGATCCAAACTATTGGTTATTCACCAACCAGGAAGCAGATTTCTCATCTCCATTAAAATATTTATTTTATACCGAGGGACTTAAACTTTAATCAAATCCATTCAAAAGAAACTTCTTATTACAGGAATGAAAAGAGATGCTGAGTTTGGGAGTAGAGAACAAGTTCATTCAAAAAAAGCAGTTTTGAATTATCCTTATCCCCGTTACAAATATATATATATATATTTGGGCAGAAACTGAACATGTGCTGGATGATGGTGGGATTTTTTTAATATGTCATATTAAATTAAGCGCTCACAGGGTTCATACAGGAATGAGTGACTCTATTTTAATGCTATTAGAAATGATTTTAATGCCATCAACAAGAACCATGTACACAAGTTATTAGTGTACGTGAAATATGAAGGAGCTGTAAGCACAGTTCCATGACTCCTGTATGTATGTAAACACACACACACACACACATATATATATACGTATATATATATCCTCTAGCTTTTTCTCCGCCTGGAGCTTCCTTTCCGAACATACGGCTTTATGTTCAGTTCCACGCAAATTAATAGCGATATAATATATCTGACGAAATTGTTTTTATAAGCATTTTTATTAAAGAATCATAAATGCAACGATTAACATATTTAATTAATTTTAGTGCCAATTAAGGCCTTGATTAAAAAAAGAATTATGAATTGTAATTATTCTTAATGATCCGCGGAAACCCTGGTTCATCTCGCGCATGCCCTCTACGATCCTCAAGGAACTCAGAGCGGAGGGGACAGAGCCACAGCGGCGGCTGTAGGCTTTGCTTTGTGCAGGCGGTCTGAAGCGCAGCGGGGCGGAGAGGAGCGGAGCGCAGACGGAGTATGTGGGATTTCGGGGTAACCCCAAGTTGCACAATCCTCCTGCAAAAACTAAAAACAGGAAGTAAGCCTTTCAACATAAAACTAAACTTCACAATAAAATATACCTGTACTGATATTTTCAACAAATGACAAAATTACAGAAAAACGGCATCGCACAAAAATTCTAAATATTACAAATAATTGATTAATTATTTATTCTAAATAATTCTTGTTTATTTATATAACACTAAGTGAAGCCTTTTCCAGATGAAAGACATGTAAGAGGTTTCATCTTGTATCTCCAGTCTTCTGCTTCAGAACAAGCTCTTCATGCTCACTCATGGTAAGCTCCATGGTTTCCTCTCTTGTCCAGGGAAGTTCTAGCTTTCGCTACTTTTCTTTCTTCTGGTTCCTCTTGGTCCAAACTGGAATTCCTCTCATGTTTGAAGAGCTACTGGTCAGAGAAAACTTCTTTTCCAGCATAATCCAGCAGGTGGTCTGGAAAGACAAACAGGAGAAAGTGATAATTGAGTTTTGTCTAGGTCCTGCTTGGACATTATTCTTTTACACCTGGAGATATTCTTTAGGTCAGGCATCCCCAAACTCGGTCCTCAAGGCCCCCTGTCCTGCAGGTTTTAGAGGTTTCTCTGCTTCAGCACAGCTGGTTATAATGATTGCAGTAGACCAAAAGCCTGTTAATCAGCTTTCAATCTAAATCAGCTGTGCTGGAGCAAGGAAACCTCTAAAACCTGTAGGACAGGGGGCCTTGAGGACCGAGTTTGGGGGTGCCTGCTTTAGGTGATTAAAGGCTGACTTAGTAACTGCCTTTACGTATCTCTGAAAGTTCAGTTCTTAGTCCAATATGACAGCAAATCTCTACCTGTAGTACCTGTAGCTGTGTGCTAACTATGGATCTCTCCTCCTGCAGAGAATGCAGTTGCTTACGGGCCCCCGACCTCTTAGGACCCCAACGCAATTGTGGACTAGGATGTCTCTTTGCAAATGTAATGGTGGCAAAAAATTTGTCGTGTACTTCATATGGGGCCCACCCAGATAATGTTGCTGATGGGCCTATTGTTGTGTCGTAATGCCATTGCCTGCAGGTTTTGTTTTATATAGTTGGAGAAAAGTATGGTCCATCCACTCATTCATCTAGCCTAAGCATCTAGCCCATGCTCTGTTTCATTCTCCTGGTGATATTGTAATGGAAAGCTGTTTGATGTCTGCATAGATATGGTAACTGATCTTGTCGTTTGGTATAATCGGAGCAAGGAGAAGCTTGTCGATATTGAATAGTAGGGGCCCCGGAATGGAACCTTGAGGAACCCTGCATGTGATTTTTCCCTGTCCTTCAAGTAGGATTTATACCAGTTCAATGCAGTACCAGAGAGGTCGACCCAGTTTTCAGGATGCTGACAGAATCAAGTGATCAGCAGTGTTAAACACTGTCCATTTTTAATTAAAAAGCTTCCTGGATGGGAAGCGAAACGTCTTCAAACTTGTAAATAACAGCACCCTGGTAATATTAGACCAAGTCATCCAATAACACCAGTACTACTGTGTTGACAGGCAGGTATTATTAGGGTTTAACACTCACACTTCATCAATGATAATAATCCTAACAGTAATCTATTGTTTTATTTTTTGTTTCATTGAAGAAGTTCATATCCTTACATAACTCAATAAGCTTTCAATGTTTGAATAAATGGCCAAAACATGTCTGAAAAACTAAATTCTGCATGCTATTTAAGGAGTTTGTTTTTATTTATGAAACATATTTAAAGGAATAGTACACCCAAAACATGATTAGCCTTCATTTTCTACTCACCCCCATGCTGAACAACACTCTGGAGTACTTTTTTGATATCTCAAATGCATCTGGAGATCTGGGAGGCTTCTTGATGTCTGCTGACATTCAAATAATGGAGGTGCCCAGCGCCCGAGGCAGAAAGGTCCATAAAAGTCCACAAAAAACGTTTCAATATTCCTCCATACTGCTCGTCCAATGTATTCCAAGTGTCCTGAGTGGGTAGCATCCAGAATTTACTCGAAACGAAGTCATTTAGAATGTTTTTAGAGCATAAACAGTAGTGTATAGGATTTCCTGAAAGCGCGTTCACGACGCTATGGAAACCGCGGCAGACCAAACCAGACGAAAGTGCGAATGGAGGAATATTGACACGTTTTTTGTGGACTTTTATGGACCTTTCTGTCTCGGTCACCATAGACCTCCATTATTTGAATGTCAGCAGACAGCAAGAAGCCTCCCAGATCTCCAGATGCATTTGAAATATCAAAAAAGTACTCCAGAGTGTTGTTCAGCATGGGGGTGAGTAGAAAATGAAGGCTAATCATGTTTTGGGTGTACTATTCCTTTAACGAGGTTTTTATCTGAAATGTATTTTGCTTTTGAGTTTCAAAATAATTGCTGCTATTCTTTCGTTTTAAGGTCTATTTGATTAATAGATACTTTTTTGAAAACTGATTTATCATGATTAGTCTGATTGTTTCAGAATCTTTGTCATAGAGATCCAAATTCATCATTTCAGGTCTCTCTGTTGTTTTACCACCCAAAACATTTAGGCATTTCTTCATCCCACATTACCTGCAAAATGGTTGAAAAGGTTTTCTTATGTCAGTGTTGTGCCACTTCCCTAGAAGATTATGAATGTATTAAATAACTAGAACTGAAGGTTAGTTAATAGGTCATTCAAATCAAGGGTAAAGCTAGTTATTTATAATAATTTGAATGTAGTTTGCTTACTGAACAGGGTTTTAGCCCATTTCCTGAAAGGGTTAGACTCCTGAATCCAGCTGTTAAAAATGCAGTTGTCTTTCACCAATTTAGTATTTTAGGCTTTGGCTCTTAGCGCCGTTATTAATCACCCACCAAATAAATGTGTCTCTGTTCATTCGGATGCTACTGAAAGGAGAGTGAATCCAACCTAAGTGATAAATTGTTCGCTGCGGAAAATGAAGACAAATGACAACGGCTTAAAAATACAATGGTACCTTTAATAGCTTCAAACACAGTATTATATCTATAACTAAGCAAAACACTAAACACTACTGAAAATAAGCAAACAAACAAAAAAGGAAAGAGGGGTTTAAGAGTCCGTTCAAAGTCTGTGATGTTCGAAGTTTTAAGGCTTAATGCATTTAAAAGTGTCCTTTATAATAGCAGCAGATAAAATGTAAATAAACCCTGAGACAGATGTTAACTGCAGTCAAAACAATTAAGTTTCATTCAGTTTATGGTGGAAAATGAATAATGACTCAGGAATGCATTAAACTATGATGAGGCTGAAAGACCCATTAGCTTAGCTGGCCGCGGGGGTTCTGGTTCAGGTCGGGTCCAACTGAAACAAAGAGAGGGTTAGCTCATGATTTAGCAGTTAGCCTGAGTAACACGTGACTCGTTCGGTCTGTAGTGAGCATTAGCATTCAGTTAAACCTTTAACCATCAGCAGTTGAATCAGATAGCTTATTTCAAATAAAAACACCAACACAACTATTCTATCTATCTATAGTTCACCAAAGCAGAACACTTATTATGCATCAGATGTGAAGGGGCGGGAGGGATGCAGTTACTGTTTGGTCCATGGAGGGAAGGCCTTCAGGTCGGTCCAGTTTCTGCAGGCCTGTCTTCCGTCCAGTCCGTTCATCCAACAGCAACTCAAAAGGATGTGGATCAATCCGATGGAACTCACAGTAGCATGCAGGACTTCTCCCTTTTAGCTACAGTGGTTAGCACGTAGCCGCAGCCTGTAGCACTTCTGCTGCGCTTCTCCGTCCCTCCGTCTCACAGGCGGTCACGGTCCGACAGCTTCTTTGGCGAACAAAGTTTGGGGCCCCTGTTGTTCGGCGGTTAGCAGAGCTGGATTTGTTCTGCTCTGTCTCTGCTGCAGCAGGATTCAGAATACACTGCGTTCACTCAGTTTGAATCGCAGGAAGGATAAAAACACTGCGTTCAGCTCCTTCTGAATCGCAGGAAAGAGACTGCAGACTTCACCGGATGGGTATTGGTTGCTACGTAGCGTAGCCTTCAGCCGGGAGCGCTTTGCCTAGCCTTTGAGCAGCATGAACCGCAGGCAAAATAGGACACTAATATGAGAAGTTAGTGTTTTTAAAGCCTACACTGGAGGGGTGTGTCTTCAGAGCGGTGTACTTCTAGTGTTTTGCAACAATATTATGCAACATCAGGCATATTTTTATATCTATAAATCTGTCCTGAAATGGTAAATTGCTCCCATTTGAATCTTGACTTTATCCAATTAAAGGAAATGTGTTTGGTTTTTTTTGGAATGACTATGTCCTGGATGACAAAGAATCTTGACCAGCAGTACTGGGACCAGTTTTACGGAGCCTTTCTATCACTGGTTTAGCCAATGTCTGGATAACTGCGGAAACATAACTATATGCCACTGACTTATGACAGAAACCATGATTGAATCTTACATGCAAGACAAACTTTAATGATAAAATGTCTCTGAGAAAAAAACCCAGCAACTTCTCTATGCCATCGTAAAGCAGAAGTGAACCGATTCCTCCACCCTTCATTTTAGCAGCCTTGCCCGAATCTCTGCAACACGTGGAGTCTCCTGAACTTTGCCAACGTCTATGTTGTAGATGGTTGTTTGTATAAAAGTGTACATACTGTGTAGCGTATGATGATAAACTGAACCAAATACAAAGTGAGCTTTGAATAGTTCATCGAAAGCTTCCAGTGAACTCGCTGACTTGCAGGGGATGACCTGCGTGTTCAGAACGATGAAGAACTCATGGATGGAGCTTCTCTTTGTCCCGACAGCAAGTAGATAGGGTTGAGTTGTAGAGCTGAAGGCCTCGACATGTTCCTGAATGCTTCTTCCACTCTGAGGATGTCAACGAAGACAAAATAAAAGTAATTTACATCCCTCAATACAAACACACAGGAACTAAAAGCATTATAAATTATAAAGTAAGAATATTTTTAAACTAGTATATTGTTCTCTCATTATATTATACAAGCATGAAAGAATTAGAGAAGAACTGGTTCAGAAACGGATGATAGTTGCTGTAACAAACATTTAAAACAAACCTTCAGGAAAACCACCAGGTGCTTCTCAGCCTGGGATGCAGAAACCTTGCCAGGTCTTTTCCGGCCCTGACAGGAAGGAGGAATCAGGTGGAGCAGCAGGATGATTGAAGAAAGATCACTATCCCAGCCTGTGGAAACAGAAAACCCAAGAAAAGTAAGAAACCAATAGCAACCAACAGAATGCCATTCCTTTAAAAACAAAAAGAGCTAATTAATGAAAGGGAATCAAATTCAACTCAGCAATACCTTAACATTACTAATTACTTTAGTCATATTTAGAAAGAGAAACATATGCGTATTCTTTAACAAATCAACCTACCAGATGAGAGGTTCTCCTCTGGTTCCTCCTCACTTGATGCTCTTTCAGCGCACTGGATCAGTTTTTCAAGGTCACTCGAGATGGGGAGAGTTTTGCTTTGCTGGATGACTTTCTGTTTGAAAATAGGCCACCTAGAGCAGAAGATATGATATTACTTAAACCCAGATGTGAGGAGAAAGAACTTGTTCATTCCTAAAATAAGTAAAGAAGCTGGGGCAAAACCTGTCCAAAAACATGGAGGACACGTCTTCTCCAAATTCCAGAATGAAGTCTTGATCAATCTGAACAAAAGATAACAATAGTTAAAAACTACAGACAAACTGTTTGTTTCAGGAGCAGATCTGTAGTGACTGTTCAAAGAGATGACATCACAACAATGAACCCAGTTGAAGTGATTTGTGGGATTAAGGGATGAGCAAAAACAAATTCCAATCTCTGATTTGATTTGTGTAAAACGTTCAACATTAGCTTGGAGCCGTGAGCGACCATATTCAGTAAAAAGATAAAATGTTCAAGAGAGAAAAGTACAGAAGAGACTTCTATTAATTTTCAGTTTCTGACTACAGAAAACATGTTCATGTCACTAATAGTAACAGGTTTGATCATCAGAATGTTATCTGTGTGAATGAATTACCAGGCCTTTGACATCTCTGAAGCGAGGAAATTCCATCAAGATATCAGATGATCTCTTTTTATCCAGGACCATCTTACGGCGGAAGTCAAACGTTGTCTTCATCTTGTTCTTGATGGCGGCCTCATCAGAAGAGTTTTTCATGAAAGAAATGGCCTCTTTATGTTGCTCCTCGTTTTGCGTCACCAGAGGGGTGAATAAAGCTTCTCTTCTGGCAGTTGGTCCACCTCCAGTCAGCCGACAGGATGATCTCCTCCGCTCTGATGAGGTGTTCTTCCTCTGGAGGGTTTTCAGTCTCCATGCTAAATAACCAGTGCCGCTTTCCCCATTGTAGAAATGCTCCTTTGAAATAGAACAGTTCAGTTTAGAATCAGAACTCACAGGGGCCATCTAGTGGAGAGCAAGTATCTGACAAAACTGAAAATGAATGGAAAAGTGGATGAATAATAGGCCCTAAACCATTACAGTTGTCTTTGAGGGCCTCAATGAAAATGACAGTGATGAAGATGTGACAGATGAACTTTTCGTGGGACATCTGCCAGAATCAAACAGCTCTGTGAATGAAGCTTCAAACGCCGTCTCTCCATTTCAACCCGAGCCTCGATGGGGCTTTTAATGGAATCTCATGACTACCAGAGTCACACTAGTGAACACAATCATGACATCACTACGTGCCCATGTTACATAGATTAACAATGAACTGTCCATTACTGGTTTGTACAATTTCAGGTGTAATTTTAGACTTAAATATTTTTTTAAACTCTGAATTCAGAAAATCTTAAATGGCTTAATAGTTTGGGAAGCAGATCAGATCAGAATCAGACATTTAATAATACTTTAATAATCCCAGAGGGAAATTACTAATCAGGGCTGATTGAAGTAGGGCTCATTCTGTAGGAGTTATTTCTCTCAAGAGGAAAGCAGCAACAGCCAAATACCTACAACAAATAAGGCGAGTTCTAAGATGTCAGCTCAATGGTATGAACAGGGTCCAGGCAATAAACAACCACAACTTGGCTGTAATCAGATAGCCTGCTGGGATAATAAGTTTGCCTAAGGAACAAGTTCAAACCAATGATGTATAAAAACAAACTCTAAACTCCTAGCTCCAAGGGTACAGTAGGAAGATGGCCCCATGGGATGAAGCACTTAGTGAATGTCTCAGACAGTGGAAGCTGGAAAAGAAGGAACTGGAGGAACCATCGTGGGGGGGAAAGGCCTGCATTGGGTGTACCATGGACAGATAGCTGAAGTAGCTGATATGACCAAATCCTACCAATGGCTAGAGAGGGCCGGGCTGAAGGCTAGCACAGAAGCTGATCATGGCAGCATATTAGCAGGCCTTGAGCACCAGAGGAATAGAGGCCCAGATCTACCATACCAGGCCAGATTCCAGGTGCAGGCTAAGCAGAAAGGCCATCTCACAGCAAGGTGTAAGATACTGGCAGGAAAGGAATACATGGAATGTCATAACCAAGTAGATATTATAGTTTACAGTAGCATACAAACTGGAGGCCCTCCCAAGGTAGTGGAGAATGACAGAACTAAGATCCTTTGGGTTTTCAAGATACCGTATAAATAAACAAAAATGGTTGTGTCCAACCAACCGGACATTGTAATCATTGATAAGCAGCAGAGGTCAGCCTTAGTGATAATGGAAGTTTGTTTAAGGAAGTGATGAAAATACCAGGGGAAAAAAAAAGAACATGAGAATTTAGAGAAATATCAAGGGCTCAGGGAACAACTAGAGAGAGCCTGGAAAGCGAAGGCAACTGTAGTGCCCATGGTCATTGGAACACTATGGGAAGTATCCCTATCCTATCCTGCTTCATTCTATCTCTATCCTCCTATTCTGCAATATTTCCTAGTTCAGCCTCAAACTCTTCTGGACATAGTAGCTTCATCTGGTCTGTTCCTATTCAGCTGTGACTTCATCCAGAGAAATATAAGCTGTGCTGCTGCGAATAACACCTTTGTTTATAGATGATAGAGTTTCTCCAGTGTTTACTGTAGTTCCATTTCTCTCCTAGACATAGCTATGGGCTCAGCTTTTACTGTGACTAACTGGATGTTATCTCTTTCATTACAGCCATATGTGGAGCTAGTTTACAGTTTCCTTTTCCAACATATAAAGTATTATAGAGCTGAGCTCCTATGTTCCTTTTCTATGTCTGCTTCTGTCTCCTTGAACCCCAGTCAGCAGATGAATGCAGGGATTAAAGTATTCTGGCCCCAGGCCAGATGTCATAGTGATTGCCCATGGGTAAAAAAAATCACTACAATATAAATTGGCGGTGAATGAATAAAAAAAGACAATCGAGGCAGGTCTTATGAAGGTGTGTACCTCCTCCTCTCGTTTCTTGCTCAAGTTGCCAGATAGATTGCGGTACAGTGCTGAAGTTCTACACAGAAAGTCGCCTTGTGCCGTTTACGGCTTCATTCAACGGAGAGACGTGGAAAAAGTCAAAAAATAAATAAATGAAACTTTGTGTTTGAAGAGAAGGTCGATAGGGAGAACGGAATTGCATGGAGTGGGCGCAATGGGGTTCATGAACTCCGGGGAGGTTGCAACGACCGTAGATAAAGGTCGCTGGGCATGGCTGGAGGAGACAGAGCGAGATGGCAAGCCATTTAGCAGCTGGTGCAGGAAGTTAGGTGAACCAGGCACCTGCTTCTGAACGCTGTGCTCCAGGAATGCTTAGCAGCAAAACTGAATATAAAATGATTTGTGGTACATGCAAGTAGTAGATATAGATGCACTGTTGCCATCTTCTGGCCGTTTTTGGTATTGGATTTTCAAAAGTCAAATTTAGTCTTTAATCATTCATGCAATCTGATCCCATGCCTCTACACCCCTCTGGCATTGCTTGAGAATACACATACATGCATATATACACTGCTCAAAAAAATTAAAGGAACACTTTGAAAACACATCAGATCTCAATGGGGCAACAAAATCATGCTGTTTATTTATACTGATATGGACTGGGTGATGTGTTAGAAACAAAAGGATGCCACATCATTTGATGGAAATGAAAATGATCAACCTACAGAGGGCTGAATTCAAAGACACCCCAAAAATTACAGTGAAAGAATAATGTGGCAGGCTAGTCGTTTTGTTGAAATTTCAGTGCAGCAACTCAAAATGGTATTCAGTAATTTGTATGTCCCCCACATGCGTGAATGCATGCTTAACAACGTCACCCACCAACAAACCGGTCATGCTAAATGATGTTACAGGCAGCATAACGTTCTCCACAGCTCCTCCAGACCCTTTCACTTCTGTCACGTGCTCAGGGTGAACCTGCTCTCATCTTCAAAAAGCACAGGGCGCCAGTGGCAGACTTGCCAATTCCGGTGTTCTGTCGCAAATGCCAATCAAGCTCCATGGTGCCGGGCAGTGAGCACAGGGACCACTAGAGGACGTCGGGCCCTCAGACCACCCTCGTGAAGTCTGTTTCTGATTGTTTGGTCAGAGACATTCACACCAGTGGCCTGCTGGAGGTCATTTTATAGGGCTCTGGCAGTGCTCCTCCTGCTCCTCCTTGCACAAAGGAGCAGATACCGGTCCTGCTGATGGGTTGTAGACCTTCTACGGCCCTGTCCAGCTCTCCTATTGTAATTGAGATTGTGCTGGTTATTACAGAAAACTTCTGGCAATGGCACGTATTGATGTGCCATCCTGAAGGAGTTGGACTGCCTGTGCAACCTCTGTAGGGTCCAGGTAGCGCCTCATTCTAACAGTAGTGACAGTGACCCTAGCCAAATGCAAAACTGGTGAAAAAGAGTCAGAAAAGATGAGGAGGGGAAAAAATGTCAGTGGCCTCAACCTGCAAAACCAGTCCTGTTTTGATGGTCGTCTCGTTGTTGCCCCTCTAGTGCACCTGTTTTTAATTTCATTAACACCAAAGCAGCTGAAACTGATTAACAACCCCCTCTGCTACTTACCTGACCAAATCAATATCCCAGAAGTTTAATTAACTTGATGCTATACTCTGATTACAAAGTGTTCCTTTAATTTCTTTGAGTGTCGAAAAAGTTCATGCACAGGATTTTTTTTTTGCTTTAATCCCTGTGAATGGTTATATTAATTCCTCTGCATCCAGTTCCTTTATAATCCTGCTATTCACCTGTTGATTTAAGCCAGGTGTGAGTCAGCAATAACCTAACACCTAAAGCATGCAGGAATCAGAGCTGGGGATCACAGGCTTTATACTCTTCCACAGGATTTCTTTTATAGGAATGGACTAAATATCCTATTTTATTATATAAAAACTAAAAGAAGATTTTTAAGTCTTACATATCCATTTTTGGAACATGGGTCCCGCAGGTTGGGAAACGTTTCAATTATGCCCCGAGCGTACCGCTCTCTCACTCGTCGTGGAGGTGCTGTTCTGAGAGAAGCAAAATTAATAGATTTTAGTGCAAGTCAGACAAAAACCACAACACTTAATCCAGCTTCTCTACAGGAGAGGAAGGATAAAGTTACCCATAAATATCACTCATGTCTGCAGCAATGATGTTAACCAGCTTCCTTCGTGAGCAGTCTGTCAGACTGTTTGTCTGCATATATTCCTGCAGAATCTGACCTCCAGCAGGTTCCTTGGTCAGCGCTGATTCTACCAACTGTTAACAGGTGAACAACGCAGAGTTTGCATATTAAAAATCACAACATCCTCATGTGGTGAAGCTTTATTTATGATTCAAGTCACATTACAGCAGACATTGTTTTTCCACCCAACCTGTTTTGCTGTTTGGTTCATCCATTTGACTTTCTGCCGTTTACTGGGAGGAGTATAAGGACCAGATGATCCAACTCCCAGGATGTGTGTGTCATCGGAGCGATGATGGGAAAGTTCAGGTGCTGAGCCTGTGAAGGGTCCATGGACTGGGCTGGGAGGAAATGATGCTCCCAGGATGCAGCGAGATGATGATGACGACCCGTTAATACGGTCAGACAAAGATCTATCCTGAGAAGCTAGAGATCACAGGAGAGAGACAAGCCAAAATACATAATACACTTTTGTCATGCGTCTAGAGACTTAATGAACAAGTGATTTAAATCGTATGAGTCTTTGGTAAAAGTGAACATGGACAGATCCACATTTTCTCACTTCAATCTGTTCCAATTACTGTAATTTAGATAACTGCCAATAGCGATACTACTCAGACCTCTGTAAAATATAATTATGGATTATTTCAGCATAATATGAACAAATATTTTCTCCATGTTATTTAAAGAAGTTGATACAAAAGAAAACTTAGGTTTCTATAAAAATTGCTATTAAAGAATAAATTAATCAACTTTGAATTTATTGATAAATAAGCTGAATACCTATTTAATACATTACATTCTACCCTTTAATATACTGTATTAGTTAGACCTATCATTAAAAATGTAGTCTAAACAGCATCCTGTTGTAGCTCTGTACAGTGACGAGCATATATGATGAAGCCCAAGACAGAAATGTGGAAGACACATTGTTTGGTTCACCATGACTGTGATGAGAAAACTTATTTTAAAGTGTATTCCTTGTTTGTCTCTAGTTAACAGCTGGGATTGTTACCTTGACTTTTTTTCCTTAATTGCTCAAAAGTATTCACTCAAGCAGGACACCTAGACGTGAGCTTCATCTTAAAGATGACTGAGAAGCTTTTTTTGAGTGTTAGGTAATTGGGTGGAGCTGGACTCCTTTAGTTCAAAGTTAGTTCAACAATACTTCTGTTTTATGAGAACTGCCAACTTTGTCAATGTAAGAAACCAACAATGTAGTTCCTTTTGCTTCTTAAAGGTACAGTGGAGGATGTTCTTTTTCTGGGTGGATCATCTAAATAAGGGGTTCTCCTAATTGTCAATCATTCGGGTGATATGTTTACGTAAGGCCGTCCAAAGTGCTCGTCCCCATTTTCACTTACCGGTGCTGAGTGTGACATAGTTGAAAAATTGCAAATCTTCTTTTGTAAAGTAAGCTTGTATGAACGATGCAAACAGCAACTTATAAACAGAGCGTGCACAAGGAGAAATGGGCTTGTGCATGTTCTTGCATGCGTTTAATAGACGTTTCCTCTCGGGAGCAGGTACAGGGTTGTGCATGTGCACAAGTGGAAATGGGGGTCTTTTCAAAAAGTTGCAAAAATTCTCCACTTTAGCTTTAAGTAGTTCTTACAATCCTTTTTTAGATCAGAACAGAGAGAAGGTTGGCAAAGACTATATCTCTTCTCCTTTGCAAGGATTAATAAATGTTTGTTGAGTGAAAAACACTGATCTAATTTCTGATTAATATGAGAAAGACCTTTTCTTTTCCTTTAACATTGCTCACATTTATTTAATGTAGTAGTAATTTGTTCAAACAAATAAAATTGGTATTTTAGGAAAGTTAGTCATGAGATCAGATTATCTGCTTTTTAGAAGACGGTCTTACGATGGTGATCAATTGTTCTTAGTTGCAGCCGCGTCAGAAGAGAATATAATGAAAGAAATGGCCTCTTTACTTTGCTCCTGGCTTTGCGTCACCAGAGGGGTAAATGAAGCTTCTCTTCTGGCTGTTGGTCCACCTCCAGTCAGCCGACAGGACGATCTCCTCCGCTCTGATGAGGGGTTCTTCCTCTGGAGGGTTTTCAGTCTCCATGCTAAAAAACCAGTGCCGCTTTCCCCATTGTAGAAATGCTCCTTTGAAATGGAAAAGTTCAGTTAGAATGGGAACAAGAACATTTTGGGCAAAACATAAAGATAATTTGATCAAATATTTGGTCTAAATTATTTTGACAATTGCAATATATTAGTATCGTGAGAGAGAAAAAATATCTGTAACCCTGTGGTTCTTAACTCTGTCAGGATTCACAGACTTGCAGGTTTTAGATGCATCTTTGTTTCCGAACACCTGATATGAATGATTGTATTAATTCTTCTGCATCCAGTTCCTTTATAATCCTGCTATTCACCCGTTCATTTAAGCCAGGTTTATGTCAGCAAGGAGACAGCTAAAGCATTCAGGAACCAGAGCTGGGGATCACAGGCTTTATACTCTTCAGCAGGATTTCTTTTATATGAAAGGACTAAATATCCACTATTTTTATTTTCTTAGATAAAAACTGAAAGAAGATTTTTAAGGCTTACATATCCATTTTTGGAATATGGGTCCCGCAGGTTGGGGAACGTTTCAATTATGCCCCGAGCGTACCGCTCTCTCACTCGTCGTGGAGGTGCTGTTCTGAGAGAAGCAAAATTAAAAGATTAAAATTTTAATGTCAGGCGAAAAACATAGAAACTTAATCCAGTTTCTCTGCTAGTGAAGAAGGATAAAGTTACCCATAAATATCACTCATGTCTGCAGCAATGATGTTAACCAGCTTCCTTCGTGAGCAGTCTGTCAGACTTTTTGTCTGCATATATTCCTGCAGAATCTGACCTCCAGCAGGTTCCTTGGTCAGCGCTGATTCTACCAACTGTTAACAGGTGAACAACGCAGAGTTTGCATATTAAAAATCACAACATCCTCATGTTCCGTGTTCATATTAGGACATCCTCAAGTCTCAGAAATAAACTTATCAGGTCTCAGGACTCTGCCAAACAACACATTTTTTTTAATAAAGGAAATATTGACCAGTTGACAAGATTTGAGTTTCTTTGGGTCTCATAAGACTGATTACATAATCACCTAATGAAGGCTGTTCTAAATCCCTACTCTGTTTTATTTTTGAAGTTAGGGATTCCTTCTAACTCTCCTTTAAATGCTGTTTATAAATATGTCCTTCTTTATCCTTCGTGGCTCACCATATCCCATGCTTCAATGCAGGTCAAATCAGACTGGTGAAGCTCAGACACTAATGGCGGACAACGGTGGCAAAAATTGTGCTTAAGAAATAATATGTAACATTCTATCACCCAAAATAAACTTTTAAGATGGTTTAAATTAAACTTTTAAGATGGCAAAACATGTATTGATAAAGATAATGCCTTGAGACTTGAGGACGTCCTAAAATGTACGGCGTATCGATCCAAAGATGCTTCAATAATAACCAAAGTAGAAATACAGCAGATATTCTCATTTTTTACCTGCTTTGCTGTTTGATCCATCCATTTGACTTTCTGCCGTTTACAGAGAGGACTACGGGGACCGGATGATCCAACTTCCAGTATGACTGCGTCATTGGCGTGATGGTGAAAAAGTTCGGGTGCTGAGCCTGTGAAGGGTCCATGGACTGGGCTGAGAGGAAATGATGCTCCCAGGATGAAGTGAGATGATGATGATGACCCGTAAAAACAGTCAGACAAAGATTTATCCTGAGAAGCTAGAGGTCAGAGAAGAGAGACATGCGAAAATACATGAAATGATTATAATATGGTCATAGTGAAGATGGAGAGTAGAGATTGAATGATGGCGCTTTGGTCTTTTAACGGTATCAGCTGATAAGTGCGTTCGCCCATTAATTAGTGTGTTTAGTGCTTTGCTTTGCACCGACGCCTGGTCCATTTACTATCAATTGCTTTTGTCTGATTTGTTACTGTATGTTGCTTAAATTCAGACTTGCATCTCATTTTTTATCACTGTGCAATTTTTAATAGGCACTAAAAATCAAATCTGCTTTAAGCTCAGGCCGCCTTAATTAGTGGTTCTTTAATGCAGGGTTCCTGTTTATTCTCTTCCAATCTGTTGCAGATGCTGGAGTTCATCTGTCAATACAGATAGTATTCTGGCGCTAGTAATTCTGGTGTTATCATCACTACCAGCTTTTGTACAGCAGCAGCCATTCAAAATGGCCCTTCCTAGTCAAAAGCCAGCCGACTGGCAGCCCACTTCCCTGCAGATCCAAGCAAAATCCCCTCCAACTTCCAGCTACTGGCCTTCTCCTGGGCATGCAAATTCTTTTTACTCTGACTCCACCCTTTAACTGAACTACAGGGTCTCACTAGTAGATGACGCTTCTCTTTAGATTTTAATGTCCACAAAGCATGACAGAAATAATATTTTAGTAAAAAGATTGATGTTTAAAAAGGAATTATAGGGGACTAGCCAAGGGCCCATCGAGGAAAGTGGGAAAATTTTGAATGAGTACAACTGTAAAAGGCTGTAATTAAATCCTCTCAACAGGCGCGTATGATAGGTAGAAATATAAGCATTTATATCAGAGTATGCAGCTTGAGCTAAAGGTTCAGTTTAGAAAATGACTAAATCCTGTTAAAATAAAAATCCTATCCTAAAAAAAATTTTCTGAATGTATCAAACTGATTGGATTGATTAAACCAGCGCTTAGAAATCCTCTTCTTCGTCCCTGTGATGGTAAAGAGGTGTTTATGAGATCATTAAGAAGCTGGTGATCAAAGAACATGTTTGGATTTTAAAGGTTTAAGACACAAAGATTTGACAAAAACAGGCAAGGAAGAAAGGAAAAAAAAATGTGTATAGGGTCGGTAGGAACTTGCAAAGAGTGAATTTGGGCAAAGCTTTTACTCGGTGGTGAGACCTTGAACAAAAACAAGAGTACGGACCTTGAAATGTCGTTTTCGGACTGTTAGCAGCACATGTGCTAACCTCTGTTAGTGTTACTATCGTCATTTTAGAGAGATTTATTGCAGGCTTTCTAAACTTCTGTTTGTTTTTCTTCAAATGCCATTTAAAAAAGAATTGTTTTATCTTTTAATAACACTATGAGAAATTTCTCTTCATAAATCTGAGAAATGAGACACTGAGCTAAAAGAAGCCATCTTTTAGCTCCTAGGATCAGGCTATGCGGGATCTCCATCTCACCTGACTTCAACCTGCTGTTCCTTTTGTTGCAGAATCATTTCATACAAACATCCTTCAAAAAAAAAAAAATAATCAAACAATTACTTTTTTTAGTTTTACTGTGTTACTCTGCACAACTCAATGGAAGTGAATTTGCTTAACGTTATGTGAGGGGAAACAAAGTATCACTTCAGAGGATTAGTGTACCTGTTAGCGCTTGTGTGTCCAGAAGATAATGATACAGTTTTAAAGAGTCATGACATTGTTTCCTAAATCGTTTTTATTGCAAGAATTATGCAACATTCATTCTGTATCAAACAGTACGTGAGGTCAACAAGTCAGAAAGACAGGCGACTAACAAAAATAAAGATTCTCAGTCATCCAGGTCATAGTCATTCCAACAAAGTTAAAAAAAACAAACCACTGGATTTTGTTTTCCAAGTTTGAAGATGTTTTGCTACCCATTCAGGAAGCTTTCTCTTAATTAAAAATTAATCCAACATTCTGACAATCATAAAACTTCATACAGATACTAGGTGCATTTACAGAAACATTTTTTTATGCACATTTTTTAATTATCCATAAGGAGATCTCTATGAAAATGCAAAATTGGAATCAATTGACTAAATTTAGCTGAAAAGCTTTTGGGTGGTTTTTGACTTTCGGTGGATCACAGCCAAGCATAACCTAAACGTATGACGAGATTACGCTTAGCATCACCTGGTTAATCGGCCTTAAATGATGGAAACTCGGACTGAATGATTTTGCCAAAAAACAAAATTGCGATTTTATTTGGATTTTCTATCATACCAACCACAATCATGGATTATTTACTCCAGGGTTTCAGTTTTTTCATGACCTTGAAAGCTTGCTTGTCCGGAGTCCATTGCTACAAGATTTTACTGTAACTTATTTGGAAAAGTGCTTATATCTACTAGCATGCAAAGACCTGCGTGCTAGCCAGAAGTTCATTTTCTTTATGAGGTAATAAACCCACTTTAAACATTTTACAGCCGCTTAAAGGGGTGGAATAAAAAAAGTTAGTCTCTTAGTCTTGTGAGCAGAACTGACTGCCGATGCATTTTAAAAGTTGCATTTTGTTAACTTGCAATTATGTTGTTAATGTAGTTGATTGCCCAGCCCTAACAGAACACAACTTGCATCATCTTTGTTCTGAAACATGAAAAGTTTGTTAAAAACTGACATCACAGCAGCATGTCCATCATAGCATCAGCTCAACGACGGAGGATTTACATCAGTGGACCCTGAACACATTTGGTCGGGACTTTGCGGGACAATGAAATGTTGCTCCATACTGCTCTCTCCTGGACTGATAGAGCCTGATAAATGTACAGGCTGTTTCCACAACGATTCAGTGTCAGACGTGGACTCGCTTGGGTCCAGGACGGTGTCATAGAGCCGACCCACAGCCGCGCTGCGGAGGCTTTGGTTGGTATAGACCCGCGATAGACCCACCTGAACAGAAGAAACAGTGAGAAACACACAGGCTATTAATGAGGTCAGAGGAGGGGTGGGGCTACATTACAGTTAGAGCAATACTGACCTCTTCACTGATCTTCTTTAGCATGTCTCCCAGGTAGTTGACGCCCATCGGCTCCTTGGAGTACCACACATCCGATGCCAGGTCGATGGAGCGCTTTGGGTGCAAGTAAAAGAATTTTGCGTCTGGGGGACACTTGGAGATGTACTTCTTGAAGCTCTTTACCGGGCACAGGGGATCCTCGGGCCTCGCAAACATAAAACCTCTTCGGTTTCGCTTCTGTGGGTGGTCTGGATCTTTCTGATTTGTAGTGTTAGGATATTGCCCCAGGCTGACGTATTCAACGCCATCCTTGCCTCTCTGGACCCTGAAAGACGTGGTGGTCAGCTCACGGCTCACCTGCCTACCACGGCAGGCCAAACACAGCTGGATGTCGAACCACACCTTTCTGACGAGACCGAGGGGTGTGTCCGGGGAGAGGGCAGACGAACGGCGGATTTTCTTAAGGTCTGACTCAGGGATGTGAGGATAACGACAGACTGTGTCTTTCCCGTTCTTTTGGCAACGCTTCAGTACTGCTTTAAAAACAACATTGCTGCTCCTGAACCGAGTGTCACCAATGATGTTCACGTCTCTTAGGTGGCGATTGATGCTGGCTCTCAGACACTTCAGACTGGCAACACTGTACTCTCCTCCTCCCTTAGTCGGCTGGACAGACTCATAAAACAGCCGCAAAACATTATTGAGAGTAGAGGCGGAGTAGCTCTCAAAGTCGATGTCCATGTTTTTCTCAGCCAGGAAGTCTCTTAATGTTCTAACAGCCCATTTGGTGGTTTTCTTCGTGTTTACCTCCTCCGTGTCGTCCGCTAAACTGTGCATTTCCTCCGGCGTCACCTCCTTGTGTCGCATCTCCTTCTTCTTCTTCCTCCTTTTCTTCTTATCTTCTCTTCTCTCTTTTTCTTCAGCTGGGTCCGAGTCTTCAAAACCATCAAATTAACGAAATAGGTTAAAGGAATCTAGAAAATCAGCCATGTTCTGTCTAATGTCTCACAGTGACCAACTAGCGCTTGAGCCAGCGCAGTAATTTTGAACAATCAGGCTGTTTTGTTTTTTGCCTGAGATCGACTGATGCGGGTTTTTAAGGCCGATGCTGCTGATTTTTGGGAGCCGACTTTGTAAAGGAAACAATCATAAAAATGTTAGACGAGCCAGCAGCAACTTTACCTGATCTCAACGCATTGCTGCTGAACACACCAATGAATCAGAGAACACAAGAACACATCAGACGATCTGTCCATCAGTCTCTATATTTGACTGGAATGTTTTTATATGTCCTGCAACATTTTTTAAATTGACACCCAGCAGCCAATCAGAATGGAGTATTCACCCAGACCATGATAGAAGCTAATCTAAACATCCTCAAAGAATGGATGGTGATAATGATGATAGCTTACCAGGGTTCAAGAATTCATCCAGGCTCGGTTGCTCGATCTTCACACAGTTCTGTTCATTCTCAATTTTTGTTTTAACTAGCATCCCACCTACAACAAGACACAAATTGGGAATTTTTAGTTTAAGTAAATAAATTGAAATTAGTCCAGATCTTAACCTAGCCATCAAAACAATAAGCATCATTGTTATTTAACAAAATATGAAAAAAATGAGACATAAAAAAAAGCAATAAAAAAAATTTAAGAGAAAATTGCCAAAAACTTAGTATATTTATTATATTCTATATTATAACTCAGTAATAAAGGACATTAGTTCTTCATCTTCACATAACCAAAGAAACTAAAACAATTTTCTCTGAATTGTTCAAGTATAGTAGAGGGAAAACCGTCTCTCTTGCAGTTTGTTGTTAATTCTTAGGGGGAGGCTGACAGGTATTTGCAAGAGCAGTAATGCCAGAGTGGAGTCACGCTGGAGCAGAACCGTGAATCCAGAGCCCAGTCTGGATGTCCTTTCTGTAACTCAGTAATATTTCAGACCACAACTTTCTGTGGTTTTGCTAGTAAATATAAACTCTCATTAAATAGGCCCATAAAGCCACCTGTTTAAAAGCGCTGCTAGCAGCGCAAAGTCTCTCCTAGCTTTGGTTGTTGGATTACACTAAGAACAGAGAATTATATAACAGTTGGCAGCCACTTCAGAAATCTTGTTTAACAAATTGTATTAATCTTTTTTTTTAATTCAGCAACCTAATAGGTGCCTGTTCTGTTACATCTTCTATACATGTCTTGTTTAATAATGTGTAAGAAAGCATGTTTTCGTTTGAACTTTGGAGAGCTGACACTATAAACCAGGAAGGAGAAGTCTGCAGCAGCACCTTCTATCTCTTAAAGGTATAGAGGACAATCTTTTATTTCTGGGTGGATCGTTTCTGGATGTGCTCGTCCCGTTATCGATCTTTTTCTGTATATGTGCATTTTTAGGCATAGATGTGTGGTGAGCTATGGTATTAGACAGTCATTGAAGCTTACGTTTCTCACTGCTGTTCTTTGAAGATGGTTGAGGGTCGTAAGAGAAAGTGTCTACGAAGTGTATGAGAATAAAAGAAAGGCCTCAGAACAGCCAGAATGCTTGCAAAGAGAGGTCTCCCCGCAAAGCATTATGGGATTTACTGTCACAGTTGCCATAGGCTACCCGAAAGCGGCAACTAATAACGAAGATGGTGCAGACACCGCACAGTAAACTAACAGGGAAATGATCAACTGTCCAAATGGTAAGTTGACTGAGTTCAGTATATATTCCTCGCTCTACAGTAGTAGGCATTCAAAATGTCCCAATTTTCATTGATGGGTCCTTGGCTGCAATTCCATTTTAAACATCAATCTTTGTACTAAAATATTCTGTCATGATTTTTGGACATTAAGAGCTAAAGAGAAGCATTATTTCCTGGTCAGGGCCTATAATTAAGCGAAAGGGTGGAGTCAGAGTAAAAAACTATGCATGCCTGCGAGGAAGTTGCATGGAAGTGGGCTGCCATACAGCTGGCGTTTGACTGGGAAGGGCCAATATGAATGGCTGTTACTGTTTATAGTGGCTGAGGGATTTAGGGGTTAAGGTGGACGTTCGGACACAGTAAGCTTGTGTGAGCTATGAGAACAGCAACTTTGAAACAGGGCTTGCACGAGGAGAAATGGCTTGTGCGCGCTCTCGCAGGTGCATTTTTTTTAAAGTGGAGAGATAGGTCTTTGAGAAAATCCTCCACAAAACCTTTAACATGGAAAATTATTTCCAAGCTTTAAACCGTATCAACATCATGTTCAGCTCCGGTCTGCTCCAGCTCTTTTTCATTTGCTACGCTAAGGTCAACCTCAGGCAACAATAGAATCAAGTAGAATTTTGCTAGCTGTGGCTCAGCTGACCTATAAATTATCACTTGATTGACCCAAGCAGCCTACTTGACCCAGTGCAAGTCAGCTGGTGCACCTTGAAATGTTCAGTTAAAGGAGCTTCAGATATTCTCAGATTCTCTCCTGATCGATCTTCTCACCTTCACCAGAGTTCTGGAAGAGAAGCCGCTCCCCGTTTAGTTCTGATTCACTGTGGCCCATTTCTTCAATAACAGGAATCGGCTGAGCTTTATCCTGATGGACGCCCAGTTCACCGCTTTCTTCCTCCAGCTGAAGAGGTTCTGGTTCCTCCCATTCTTCCTTGATTACCAAATGTTCTGGTTCATCCAGCTCCACCTTTGTCCCCTGAAGGTCTGGTTCTGCTGGGTTACAGAGCTGCTGCTCAGTCAGTACGGCCCCAGTAGAGACATAACTCTGTGGGACATCTGGACAAGAAGACAAGAAAAATAACAGATGAAAACAGAAACATCGGGGCCTTGTTTCCGAAATAATGGCCGTCCTACGCAGAGTACAAATACTCTGAGTAGTACTACATGTCCAACTCAGAGTTTTGGTTTCAGGACAGTTGATATCAATCAGGGAACTCAGAATCTAATCAATAAGCCCTTATCAATAGAATGCAGATTACACAATTCACCATGGTGACAACAAAACAGAAGCATCTAATCATGCGTTCAAACATACGACAGCGAGATCTTGACAGGAAATGCCACAGGGTTGCCAAGGGTAGCCCTTGTTACGAGGATAGCCCAGTCAGCAAGGCCCTAAGGAAGAGCGGCTGCTGACGTCCCTTTGCTGCGCCCGCCGCTCAGAATGCTTTTTTCGTTTTCAAGTTATGGATAGTACTTTGCTGGCAGACCACGAAAACAAAAAAGCAATGTCTGCTGTGTTTTCTCTTTGATAATGGCATAAAATGTGCAGTCTTAAAGAAGAAAATGGAAATGCAAATAGGATGATTGATTACTAATTTCATATACGAGTCAAAAAGCATTCCTGGAAATGCTTTTTCATTTTCATTTTAATTAAGTAAAAGGATTAGCAGTGTTGAAAAAGAAAATTAAAATGCAAATATGATTATTGATTACTTATTTCATTTATGAGTCAAACAATGCAGCCACATTCTTAAAATGAAAAAGCATTTCTGAAAATGCTTTTTCATTTGAAATATGGTAACGATTTGCTTCCATAGCTGCTCACCTCTCAGGAAGTGGCCCCGATTCACAGTTAAAAAGGCATGTTATACATGTCCAGTCTGTCACATCATCTTATTTTACCAGATTTCTAAATAAAGACAAACTATACTTTCCTACAGCCTTTGCTAACAAAGAGACGAATATATTCAAACATCCGTGCTTTCTAAAAACAAAAAAAAGGTATAGTGGATAAAATTCTTTCAGGTTTGAGTTTTGGGTGAAAATCTTTTCCATTGTCATTACTTACCTACTTTTATAAATAATCATTCTGCATAAAATTGATATTTACAAGTACTAATATCTACCTAAATTGATTATTTAATACGTTTTTATTAAAATAGTTATTTATGCATTATTTCACTGAAGACTCCTAGATGACCACATCATTTTCACTTTAACCCATAAAACACAAAATCTATTTCTGCTTGAATTCTGTACTTATCATTTATAATGTTAGCATATTTATGTGCATAATTATCCACAGTGTTTTAGTTTTCAAGTAATATGAATATTCCACTTGAGAGTATTAGGCTACGTTCCCACTGCAGCCTGAAGTGAACCAAATCCGATTTTTGGCCCATATGCAACCTATATTTGATCTTTTCATGGCAGTCTGAACAACACAGATCCGATTTTTTCCAATGCGACTCAGGCCACTTGGCTATGTGGTCCTGAATCCGATACGAATGTGATCTTTTCAAATGCGACCTGTGTCTGAACGGCCAGGTCGGATGAATCCGACCTGAACGTCATTAATACCCGACAAAGGTCACTATTCTTCGTCTTACTATGAAGAAGTGGCAAGAAAAACAACAACCATGACAGATGATGATGCGGAGAGAAGTATTTATGTTTAACCATATTGAGAAGATTGTGTTTTTATGGTTGGGAAAAACCGTTAGAAGCGATTCGGCACTACCGTCCTAGCCTCCTGAGACCATCCCGATCTCGCAAGCTTTCAAGGTTTCACTCGCAGATCCGTCTGGCTACTTTCCGTTAAAGAAAGTTTGGAGCAGTTCACCAACCAAACGTCCAATCAGCGTTGGCTTTGAGGTGGGTTGAGGTGTGACGCAACGAGAAGCGCGAAAGTTCAGTCTAAAGAACATGTAGGCTTCAGCCAATGAAACTAGCGTTAGCGTGGCTATCGAGCAAGTTTTATCGGAATTACAGAGTATTTTTTCACTGAAAGAATAGCAAAACACTGCTTTTACCTTTACCTGCAGCAGCAAGAGTAGCCTGGCTTGTGTTTTCGTCGTCGCTCTGTTAGTTCGTCATATGCTTCGTTGATCTGATTGGTTTATTTGGCCCGTCTATCACCAACATAGGCCAATCAGCTAACCAGTATTTTTGCCCCTTCCCAAAATTACTTCAACGGAAGGTTTCCAGGTGGATATGCGGACCAAATCCATCTGGCGGAGTCAGGTTACTACCGTCCATGCTTACTTCCGTAAATACAGAGCACACTGGCCTGTGACGTCATTGCGTCCTGTACTGGACACTTGCTTTTTATGACTGCAGTTCACTCAAAAGATTGCATACAAGTCACATATATTTGGAAATATGAAGAGCAATGTAAAAAAAAAAAATCGGATTTCACAAAAAATCGGAATTGAGCATCAAGGCCTGCAGTGTGAAAGTAGCCTTACTGTTGCCACCATCTGTATCGGGGGAAATAAATGGTAGGGGTAGCCACATGGGTGACAATGATTGACTAAGGGTGGCCATGGCCCCCCGTCTAGCTCCGTCCCTGTATTTTACATCATACACTTTAGCAGATGAGTAGAAATCATAACTTCAGCCTTAACAAAATGTTACAATTTGTTCTTAGTTGAAGGACACCGCTCTTAAGCCATTCTCAAATATTTCTCACATACAGAATGAAGATTATAACTGTATATCTGGACAGAGGAACCGTCCTAACTAGATAAACCTTTGTAGAAAACATCAGTTCTGACATGCAACAAGCAGCCAATATCTAATTCACCCCATAATTTACTCTGGATTACCATTAATCCTGCTTTATTGAATGAAAGTTCTGATCCCAGGAAGCATGCAGTGAATTTTCCCAGCAGTAGAACCCTATAGACCGGTTCTGGTTCTTAATCTGCTGCAGGATATGAATGATATATTTAGCCCGTTTAATTATGTCCAGCTCTGATGTAGAGCTGGGATTCTCAAGGAACCAGAAGCTGCCATCATGAAGTCATTGACTATATGCGTTCAGTTTCAGCCATTACAGCTTCTGAAATACAGACTCTGAGCAGTGAACTGTCTCCACCAACCCGTCCCTGAATGTCCCCCCATCAGAACAGCTGCTGCTCCGAACCTGCTCTCTGTGAGCTGATGTCCAGCAGTCTCTGACGGTCGATCTCCTCCTGGTACTGGATGATGGTTTTTTCCACCTCTGAGAAGATTTCTTCAGCAGCAGCAGTTAGTCTCTGTCTGATAAACTCTCTCAGAGGCTGAACTGAACACATTGTTGCTGCGCGGACTCACATTGGATCTTTACACAAACTGACAAGAAGATGCTAACACTGCTAGCACCTTTGTTTTCTTACCCGGAAGTGTTACATTTAGCTTCCGGTGTAATGGCGGCCTTCGGGGGGCGCTGTTTGTTTCCTGACTAAGTGAAAACATTTCGGTCTTTGTTATTGTTGGTATTTAAAACCACATTTTAAAACTATTTTTTTTACCCAAAAGTCGGGATTTCAGACCAGAGTGAAAGATGACCTTTAAGCTTTAGAAAACACTTCTCCCTTTCCCTAAACATAATTAATAATGTTTGCAAAATATCATATCCATAGAAAAAAAAGAAACAAACACGAATGGTTACCATTTTAATAGTGAATCTGTAGCATCTTAAAACCGTAGAATACGTGTCTAATAAAAAATCTGTTAAGATTTTCCATTTATCCAGTAAATACCAATGTGTTCGACAATTGGTAATTATCATAAATTGCATGTGCCTGTACCCCTGTCTTGATTGATCGTTTTTGTTTTCTGTCGCTATCCTTTTATTTGAGTTTAATTCTAAATAAATGCTTTATATTATATTTAAAGCTGATTTTCACAAGTTATGTATCTAAACAAACCTTATTTTCATTCATTTAAGTTAAAAAATCTTTGTGTTCTGACTGGAAATTAGAAAAACCTCAACATAACTATTATTGTAAAATCTGAAGGTAACATCATTTATATCTCATGTTTACTGTTTGAAAGAGAGGAACAGTTAGTCTGTTTATTCTGTTTATTTTTTTTCATTCAATTTGGTACAGTTCAAATAAACATTTTAAATTAACAATACTACATGGTCAATCTTCACATATTTTTTTCCTTGAGTGTGAATGGAAAAGGCTAGTTTCTTTGAACATGGTGTAAATGTTTTAGTCGTTCATGCTAAATAAAAATGTACAATTCTCTGCTGTTTTTTATATTAGGAGCTCCTTAGGTCATGTTGTTCCAAAGTCATCATAACGGCCTTTGTTTATTCGTCTTACCACCCACATTTAGGCACTAGTTTATCCTATACTGTAAGTCTTTACTTTTTACTGTAAACGACTGAAAAGCTGTCACATGCCAGGCATATTTCTATATCTGTAAATCCGTTCTACATGTATTTTCTAAATCTGTACTGAATTGGTGAATTGCTCCCAGGTGAATCTTGACTTTCTCCAATAAATGAAAATGTGTGAATCAGTCCAACAGGATAGGAACAAAACCAGGGGTGCTTCTATTTCTGAGAAAAGGATGCTAACATGCTATTCCTATTGTTGGACCACCATCTGGTCACGTTTTTAGTACCTACAGCAGTCAGCAGGGGACTCTGAGAAGATCCACCATTATGCATAATTATTACATTATATGAACAATGTACCGGCACTCTGCTGATGCAAGAATGATTAAATACTAAACAAGATAATCTACATAAAGACAACAGTTTAAAATCAGAAATGCTGAATTGAGATAATGAGTTTATTGTTTACAGGAAGGTCTTCATCACAGTCAGAATATAACCTGTGAATCAATGTTTTTTTAAAGGAAGTTTTCGTTGCATTTTCTAAAGAAAATCATCTTATTCCCAAAAATGATTTTTATAGTTAAAGTAGATTCTTTCTCCACCTATTGGTCAATCTTTGATTAAAAACTCAGTTTGGATGGTTAGCTGTGTGACTTCTCTCGTGACAAGCCAACTCCTGTCTCAGTCTGAACGATTTTTCACATAAATGTCAGGAATGCGGTTTCTCTTGGGTGTGAACTTTCATGTGCAGAGAGACTGTCATCTTTTGGCGGAAGCTCTTCCCACAAATCTTACATGAGAAAGGCCTCTCGCCTGTGTGAGTCCTCAGATGACGCTGCAAACTCTGCTTCAAGCTGAACCTTTTTCCACACAGCTTACATGGAAAGGGCCTCTCACCAGTGTGAATTCTGATGTGGCGAGTCAGCTGCATCTTCTGGCTGAAACTCTTCCCGCACGTCATGCATGTGAAAGGCCTCTCACCTGTGTGGATCCTCATGTGAACACCGATGTACCACTGAGAGAAAGTCTTACCACAAACATTACAGTTGCGCGGCGTTTTCCTTCCGTTTCTTTTCTCATCGTGTCGTCTGGTTTCTGACTTTCTGATTCTGCTATTTGGATCTTCCGCTCTGGGTTCTTCCTTCTTTTGGTTCTTATCTTCCACAGAATTTAGAGTGAAGAAAATTCTCCCCTCTGGTTCTGGTCCTCTGTGGGCTCTGTCTTTAAATGCAGCAGACACCTGCTCTTCATCCCAAAGTCTGCTATGATCTTTTTCTTTTTCCCATACAGGTTCTAGGTTGTCCTGTTCTTCATTTGTCTGAAGAGATTCTAGAGCCTCTGAATCTATGTTGTAGATCCTCTCCAGGTTCTGGAGCTGCTGGTGGGTCATAACCTTCTTCTGTTTCCTGTTATCATACCGCCAGAGGCCTGGAGAATCAAACAGGGATAAATAAAATTACAAAGCAAAAGGTAGGAAAAGGAAACTCACTGTAATTTGATATTTCTGTCTAAATGTTGTCTTGCAGTGATAATAAAGCTGCTTTTGCCCTCTGTGCAGACTTATTGGTCCAATCTGAATGAAACTGGGTTGGATCCAGAACAATGTTCTGGCTCCAATAGAGGAAACTGATCCACCCCCCACCCCTGGTCCCTCTGGGTTGGTTTCAATTTAATACAAACAATTCCTGTTTCCATTGATTCTTGAATCAGATTCTTTTCAAATGAAGGAACACAAAAAATCCTGTCCTAAAGGAGCTGGCTAACCAGAGTTAAGCCGGATGAAATAGTCAGAACTTCTTGATAAAGCTATTTCAAGGAACATTAAACTTTTTAATAACCTTATCATAAACTACAGCATAAAACTCAGATCCAAACCACATGGAGAGATTAGGAGTAAGGGAGACCATTAAGACCATGTTTGAAACCATGTCTCAGGGTAGACACATCAGAACATGGCGGCCTTTTTCAATTTGTTCATCAGAGACACTTCATTCTTCATATGACGACGCTGTAGCTCCTCCCCCCTCCTCGGTGCTATGTTGTTGTGTCAGATCAGCTGCCTGCCTATGCCCAGTGGTTTGGGTGTGATCACAGCGCCACCAAAGGGCCTGGCATGTATCCTACAGTGTCTTCATAGGTGCAGTGAACATTGTGTTGATGCAACTATTTGGAAGCCATTAATTATAATAAAGTGTTTTCATGGCCGTATTCTGTTACTTTACTGATTTGATCCTGACTGCAGTGCAGCAATGGGATGTACACTCACCGGCCACTTTATTAGGTACACCTGTCCAACTGCTCGTTAACACTTAATTTCTAAGCAGCCAATCACATGGCGGCAGCTCAGTGCATTTAGGCATGTAGACATGGTCAAGACAATCTACTGCAGTTCAAACCGAGCATCAGTATGGGGAAGAAAGTTGATCTGAGTGACTTTGAACGTGGCATGATTGTTGGTGCCAGAAGGGCTGGTCTGAGTATTTCAGAAACTGCTGATCTACTGGGATTTTCACGCACAACCATCTCTAGGGTTTACAGAGAATGGTCCGAAAAAGAAAAAACATCCAGTGAGCGGCAGTTCTGTGGGCGGAAATGCCTTGTTGATGCCAGAGGTCAGAGGAGAATGGCCAGACTGGTTCGAGCTGATAGAAGGGCAACAGTGACTCAAATAACCACCCGTTACAACCAAGGTGGGCAGAAGAGCATCTCTGAACGCACAGTACGTCGAACTTTGAGGCAGATGGGCTACAGCAGCAGAAGACCACACCGGGTGCCACTCCTTTCAGCTAAGAACAGGAAACTGAGGCTACAATTTGCACAAGCTAATGGAAATTGGACAATAGAAGATTGGAAAAACGTTGCCTGGTCTGATGAGTCTCGATTTCTGCTGCGACATTCGGATGGTAGGGTCAGAATTTGGTGTCTTCAACATGAAAGCATGGATCCATCCTGCCTTGTATCAACGGTTCAGGCTGGTGGTGGTGGTGTCATGGTGTGGGGAATATTTTCTTGGCACTCTTTGGGCCCCTTGGTACCAATTGAGCATCGTTGCAACGCCACAGCCTACCTGAGTATTGTTGCTGACCATGTCCATCCCTTTATGACCACAATGTACCCAACTTCTATTGGCTACTTTCAGCAGGATAATGCGCCATGTCATAAAGCTGGAATCATCTCAGACTGGTTTCTTGAACATGACAATGAGTTCACTGTACTCAAATGGCCTCCACAGTCACCAGATCTCAATCCAATAGAGCATCTTTGGGATGTGGTGGAACGGGAGATTCGCATCATGGATGTGCAGCCGACAAATCTGCGGCAACTGTGTGATGCCATCATGTCAATATGGACCAAACTCCCTGAGGAATGCTTCCAGCACCTTGTTGAATCTATGCCACATAGAATTGAGGCAGTTCTGAAGGCAAAAGGGGGTCCAACCCGTTACTAGCATGGGGTACCTAATAAAGTGGCCGGTGAGTGTATGTCAGAGCTGAAGGAAAAAACAGCACAGCAGGTGTTGTGTTAAAGAAAGTTTCCTTACAGAGTTCTTATCCTCTATAGAGTTGCTCTCTAGGCTTCAATCATTGCTGCTTACTTAGCAACTTTTCAGACCAATCTAGTTGACCCTTTTTCCTCATTATTCCTCTTTTTCTTCTCTGTAGATCTGTCAGTCTTTGGCTGTGGCCGAGCATCTGTTCTAACCCCTTAATAACTTTATAGAGCAGGGACTGTGTAGTGAACAATATAGTGAACTCAGTTAACTGACCGTTAGGACAGATGATCCCTACTTTTCGCTTTGCTCTTTCCCGCTGTCAAAACAAATCCCACAATGCTTTGCAATTAGAGCTCTTGCAAAGCATTCCAGGATATATCTGCTCGTCTAGTGACCATGGATGCTCACTACTTTTCAAGGTGCATTGTGGAAAATTTTATCCAATAAACATTCGGACACTCATCTAAAGTGGTGTAATCACTATAAAGTGCCATATATAGGGATTAAGGCATATGTTCAGACACAGCCTTTATCTCCCACAGTTAAAGGTTTCGATCAGAAAATTTAGTTTCTCTTATTCATATTTCATATACTAATTTATCCCATTTACTCACTACAAAAGTTTTTCACTCAGTCTGTTTCACCTGCAAGGTCGCACAATTCCCCTGCGTGAGGGTGTTTGTAGACTAGACATAGTGTCTTCCAAAAACAAGTCAGATTCTTTCTTAAGGTTTATTCATAACATGTTACTGTTAACCAAAGTGTCTGCAATTTGTTTTGAATCTGACTACTTTCCATTATTGGAAGTAAGGGGAACACAGACTGTCCAGATCAGAACAGGGCTGAATACCAAGCAGTAAGGGCTGTATTATGAACTGTTCTCTCTTTGCAAAGATATAAAAATAATGTGCCAACTGAGTGAAATCTATTGATCTTCGTTTTAATTAACTGAAATGAATAGTGGAATACTTTTTTCCCACTAAAAGGTTCACTTTTGTTGTAAAGTATTATTTCTTCAATTCTTCTATCATTTATTTAATCTTGTTTAAATATCAAAATTATTGTTTTTCATCATTTTAATTTTCAGATTACGTCCTTTCACATTTTAACATGTTCTTTAGCTAATTCTAGTTCTTTTAACTTATCCAACCTCTTTCATCCAGACTGTTGTTTCTCATTGTTGTTTTTAAAGCAGCTTTTCTCCAGCTGCGCTTTAAGCTGCAGATTTAACCTAACACATGTTAGCTGATGCACCTTGAAGCCTTTAGTTAAAGGAGCTTCAGATGTTCTCAGATTCTCTCCTGATCGATGTTCTCACCTTCAGCAGAGTTCTGGAACAGGAGCTGATCCTTGTTTGGTTCTGGTTCACTGTGGCCCATCTCGTCATTAACAGGATTCAGCTGAGCTTCATCCTGATGGACACCTTCTCTGCTTTCTTCCTCCAGCTGAAGAGGTTCTGGTTCCTCCCATTCTTCCTTGATTACCAAAGGTTCTGGTTCATCCAGCTCCACCTTCGCCTTCTGAGGTTCTGGTTCTGCTCGGTCAGTCCCGCCAGAGACATAACTCTGTGGGACATCTGGACAGCATGACAGAAGAGAACCAATGGATGAGAACTGAAACTTTGTCCATCATGACCTGAATTATTTTGTGTTGCTGAAGCAGCTTTATCAAAAGTATCGATACTCAAACTCTGTGATCGGATACAAGACTAATCTGGTAATATGGAATCAATAATAGACACATTATGTTAATCTTAGATTTCTGGATTATTTGTTTTTACAGAATAAAACCTCTGACAACCTGAACATACCTGCTGTTAGTGTTAGAGTTGTTAAGATCAGGTCCAGATCTGATGTAGAGCTTTATTCATTAAGATGAGGCTCAGAATCTTTAGCTTCCTGATCCAAGGTTCTGATTGAACAGAATGACACCTCCACCATAACACAGAGAGCTGTGCTCTACCTCTGCGTTACTCTGAGCCTCTTTGCTTCATTTGGTCTCTTAAGTCTAAAGCTTGACTGAAGTTCTCCCTCATTTAGCTTCTTTTTAGTATGTTTTTTTTTTTTTTCCTGGCAGACCCTGAATAAAGGAAACTCCTCAGATACATCCAGAGCTATTTGGATCCAGCAACATCTGAGCTCTGACCTGCAAATCTTCAACCTGCAGTTCCAGAATAATTGCTCTGCCATTAAAACCAGAAGAAAATATTTATATATTTTGACTCATTAAAGTTAAAATAAGTTATCTATATGATATATTCAAACTTTCATTCTGCATCCCTCAAAAACACACCATTTATGTAACACTAATCATGTTCAGCATTGTATTTTGAATTTTGTTTCTCATACTTTTGAAAATGATGTTTATATGTCAGCATCTCACACACCAATGTCTACAGGGGTTCTTATTTAAAACGTTTTTTTATTAATGTCTAATGTGTAAATAAAGAAAGGAGATGTAATGTATGAAAATAAGGAGACAGACTTCCGATAAGCAACAAAAAGAAAAAAAGAAAACGGAAGCTGGCTGCTGCACTGAAAACTGGTTTGTTTTGTTGGTTCATAAAGGTCTGGGTCTGAATAATCAGAATAAGCCTGCTCTGTTTAAGCTTCCAGATGCCATCATGAAGTCATTAATAGTTTCAGAAATAAAGATTTTGAGCAGCAAACAGGCTCCCCGAACCCGCTCTGAATGCACCCCCTAGCAGAACCCGTCAGAACCGAACCTGCTCTCTGTGAGCTGATCCGGGGTCTCCAGCTGATGTCCAGCAGTCTCTGACGGTCGATCTCCTCCTGGTACTGGATGATGGTTTTTTCCACCTCTGAGAAGATTTCTTCAGCAGCAGCAGTTAGTCTCTGTCTGATAAACTCTCTCAGAGGCTGAATTGAACACATTGTTGCTGTGGAGACTCAGACTGGATCAAACACCGGTAATCTCTAAACTAAACTAGGACACCTGGATCAGAACAATAACAAACCAAGCGGCTCCCGCCAGCGGATTGTCACATCATCCGGGGTATCTGAAAAATCGCTCCTCCCCATGGGAAATCAGGCGCTGCAAAGTCCCTAGCGGAAGGGATGTTCATTGGAGGGATGCGTTAATTCAGCCGCCATCTTGTTCAGGGCATCCTCCTCCTTAAAACAGCCTGTTTAGAATGAGACAGGTAGGGTTTTCCTGTTGTACCAAACACTAAAAACGAGGCATTTTATCAAAAAGACGTGAGGGTCTTGAGGAGAATTATATAACCATAGAGACGAAACATTATAATCACTACTTAGCTACTGCCATGTAGGGATTAAAATGTTTTTCCAAATCACTTTTGGGATTATTAATTTCTATTAGAAGTGAGGAGGACTTATAAAAATGTTAATATTTTCAATACAAAGTCCCCATTCTGACCGAGAATAAAAATTGAAGAAACAACATTGGGGCTCTAAGCATAACATTTATATTCACATTAAATTGCAGAAATAACATCCATCCACCCTGGCCTTGCAGAATGTCTAGTGTCCATCAGTCACCGATTGAAGGTCGAAGCATTCACACAAATATACATCATTAACATTTTCAAATAATTTCAATCCTCCCTGGAATCATATAGAATAATCTTGTAATTTAGAGTTTAGATTTAGATGCCTATCAGCTCCATGTGGATCTGAGACAGTTCCAGCTGAGTTTGGACAGATGCAACTAAAGACAAAAGGTCTCTTCGGGGTTTTGTTAATGTATACATATTCATTCCTAATCAGGCATCAGGTTGATTCCCAGATCCTAAAATGTTTTGAGCAGCAGAGCTCCATCTCTGTCATAATATTTTGTTGGCATTGTAACTGGTGCCGATATGGAATGGCAAATTGTTTATAAAATCTTTAGTCTCTGCCTGAAATGTAAACTTCATAAAAAGAAAGAACAAAAAAAAAAAAAAGATTTTTACTCTCAGAATCTTATATTTTATTACCGTACACATTTAACACATAGCAAACAATACAAGCTTTATTTCTAAAGCACTTTAAAACAACCACAACTGAAACAAAGTGAGCACATCAAGTCTGAGCTGTAAACATACATTGAATGAAGAAGCAGATATTTCTATGACACCAGAGTCCAAGAAGATTCCAGAAATCCAAATAAACAAAGTAAACATTGAGTCAAACCTTTCAAAATTGGGAAAGAAACGTGAAATGATTTAGATTTAAATCTATCAACTTTTCCTGATTTCAGGTAACTTCATGGTAATCTGGGTTTTCTAATCATCTGTCCTATCTTGAAGACAGTAGAAACGAAATCCCAGTGACCATCAGGTGGAGCATCAGGGATCTATTTTAGGGCCAGATATCACACTGTGGCCTCACCTCAGTCTAGGAACAGATTCTGGTTCTCAAAAGAAATGCTCATATATGGACCCCACATATGGTCACACAGGGGGTCATCCTGAGACTGGCTGCTGGTGTGAGTGCCGTTTTGACTCAGACATTTGATGAAGCTCGTAACCCCCGGGGTCAGGAAACTATGGCTCGCGAGCCAGGTGTGGCTCTTTTGATGATTGCATCTGGCTCTCAGATTTCGGCTTTTCAGATAAAACATAAAATATTATCACTTGTTTTAATCTATCCATTGATTTTCCACTGCTCATGTACTGTTCAGGGCTGCAGTTGGCTGCAGGAGCAAGTGTCCATTATATCAATTGCATTACATTCAGTTTTAATAATCTAGAACTGCCACTGCTCTTAAATGCTCCATGTTGGTAGGACACTTGTATATGGCATTACATAGCTTTGTACAAAACCAATATTTTATTCATTCTTCTTTATGTGAGCTACGGGTTTGCCAAGTGCTATTGTACATTACAGGCAGGATATATGGTGTGTTTTAAAAAATACACAAAGTAAATACGTTTTTTATTTGTACAGAGTCATGGGAAATGGACAAATCTAAAATGCTGGGTAAGTAAAGTTACTTTTCACAGAAAGTAACAAGTATCAATCTCATATGCATATATGGGTTTTTCTCAAAATTAAAAAGAAATGTAATTTAACAAATATGTGCATTTAGATGTAATAATAGGGCCTGTATGGGAGAATTATCCTGCCATAATGCAAGAGCACATAATTTCAATTTGAGAAAAGAATTTCATCTTCTTGCACTCAAAACATGCACTCACTCTCAAATATATAATGCTCACACTCAAAAAAAGCGCTCTCTCTCAAATATATAATGCTCACACTCAAAACATGCGCTCTCTCTAAAATATTTTCTCTTCTCTCTCAAATCTTTGTTTCTTCTCTCAGATTTAATGCTTCTTGCACAGATATTTTCTCCTCTCGCTTGCCTCCTCTTCGCGCACAAACCGCGCTCTGCTCCAGTCTCAGTTACCCTCGCAAACCCATAGGCTCTGCTTGCGGATTTTTTTTGCTCTCTCTCAGATTGGATCGGATCGTCGCCTAGCAACCTTTCCAGCCAATAGAACGACAGCCTCAGAAAGGGTGCGCTGGTCTAACTCCCACCCTTTCTGAGGCTGTCGTTCTGTTGGCTGGAATGGTTGCTAGGCGACGATCCGATCCAATCTGAGAGAGAGCAAAAAAAATCCGCAAACAGAGCCTACGGGTTTGCGAGCGTAACTGAGACTCGAGCAGAGCGCGGTTTGTGCGCGAAGAGAAGGAGGCAAGCGAGAGGAGAAAATATCTGTGCAAGAAGCATTAAATCTGAAAGAAGAAACAAAGATTTGAGAGAGAAAATATTTGAGAGAGAGCGCATGTTTTGAGTGTGAGCATTATAAGTTTTAAGTGCAAGAAGATGAAATTCTTTTCTCAAATTGAAATTATGTGCTCTTGCATTATGGCAGGATAATTCTCCCATAGGCCTGTCTGTTCTATTTTCCATTGTTCATATGGATATAGCTATATTTTGCAGTATATCAATTTATTTGAAACTTTTGTGTTTTCTCTGTAAATCAGCAAGCCACACTCATCGATGCTTAGTTGCAAAGTCTGCTCACCTTCAGCACTTCTGATTCTCAGTATGTTATGGAAACTTCCCTCCACTTTTATCAGCCTTCTTTGGGACCCAGCAATAAGCAACTATTGTTCTTTTATGTGGAATGGAGTTGTGACCAAACTCTATAAACTACCATAACAGCACTGTTGTGCTGTAGTCTCAGCTGTGATATGGATATCAATCCATAATGTGCTTTTTTTTTTTTAAAATACAATATTGTTCCAGAACCTCACTGGGATCAATTCTTCACACATTAGTCAAACTTCCTCTGAAAGACTGGCCGAACAACTTAGATCCTCGCCTGTGTGAGTTTTAACATGACGGGTTAACTCATTACTCTGCCTAAAAGATTTATCACACATTTCACAACGATACGGTTTCTCACCAGTGTGGGTTCTCATGTGACGCGTCAGATCGTTCCTCTGTCGGAAAGATTTATCACATATTTCACAAGGAAAAGGTTTCTCTCCAGTGTGGGTTCTCATATGATAACTCAGAGTTGTTTTCTGGACAAAACCTTTCCCACACGCCAGACATTGGAAGGGTTTCTCACCTGTGTGAGTTCTACGATGACGAGCCAAATCCCAACTCTGCCTGAAAGATTTCTCACACAGTTCACAGGGATATGTCTTCTCCCCCGTGTGGGTCCTCATATGTCTGGCCATGCTGCTGCTGTCACTAAAAGATCTACCACAAACCTTACAGGAACATGGTTTCTCACCAGTATGCGTTCTCAAGTGAACAGTCAAATGACCACCGAATCCAAAAAGCTTCCCACACACTTTGCAGATATAAGGCTTCTCCCCGGTGTGCGTTCTCATATGTCTGAGCATACTACTGGAATTACTGAAACTTTTACCACAAACTTTACACACAGATGTCTTTTCACCTGTGTGGGTTCTCATGTGACGTGTCAAATCACCCCTTTGTCTGAAAGATTTCTCACACAACTCACAATCAAAAGGCTTCTCACCTGTGTGCGTTCTCAGGTGACGTTCGTAATCAGAACGCCGCCTGAATGATTTATCGCAAGACTCGCAAGAATAAGTCTTCTCACTATCATGGATTCTCTCATGACGGCTCAGTTTACACTGTTTGCTGAAGGCGCGTCCACAAGTGGGACAGGAGAAAGGCTTCCCAGTTGTGTGTGTTCTCCTGTGGCGAGTCAAATCACTGCTGTGTCTGAAAGATTTGCTGCACAACTCACAGCAGTATGGTTTCTCATCTGTGTGAATCCGAAGGTGGCAGGTCAAATCACTTCTCTGAATGAAAGATTTACCACAAAACCCACAACCGTACGGCTTCTCGCCCGTGTGTGTTCTCATGTGATAATTTAAGGTGGTTTTCTGGATAAAACCTTTACCGCAAATCGGGCAGCGGAACGGCTTCTCTCCTGTGTGAGTCCGCATGTGCTGAGTCAGCTCAGGCTGCCTGCGGAAACTTTTTCCACAAGTGGGACAAGAGAAAGGCTTCTCAGCTGTGTGCGTCATCATGTGTGCATTCAGGTACCTGTGCTGTTTAAAACATTTACCACACACTTCACAGGAGCATATTTTCGTTTTCCTTCTTTTAGGCTTTTTGTCCAAACAGTCACTAGGGTTCTTAGACTTCTGATGCCTCTTGTATGGTTTAAGCCTTTCCATGGACCTTGAGTCTCTCTGGTTTCTGCCTTGTTCATGTTGGTTCTGGACTTCAGAAGAGGCTGCAGAGAGGTGTTGGTAACCGTTTAGTTCTAGGTCGCCGTTGTGCTTTTGATCAGCAGTTAGGGTTAATACGAAGGAGTCAGTCTCTTCCTTCACTATGACCTGCTCATCATTAAAGAAGAAATCCTTGTGTTCCTCCTTAATCTGTAGAGGTTCTGATTCTTCCGGTTCTTCTTTAATCCGTGAAGGTTCTGATTCCTCCTTTGTCTCCATCATCTGCTGCAGTTCTGGAACATTGTCGAGTATTTCCAAATATTCAGGAGTCCCCACAGAGCCCTGTTCTTGTTTGTGTCGTTCTGGTTCCTCTTTGGTTACACTTGTCTCCTGTAGTTCTAGTTCCTCTAGTTCCTCTTTCATGTTGATGTCATTGGGCATACTGGGGTTGACAAAAGAGTTCCCATTCACTCTCCACTGAGAACCAGCTGAATCAGAAAGACCTAAAGAAAAACTAAAACAATGTTAATAAATCAGGGAAACAGAAACTAAATAATTTACTTTTTCCAGAATGTATTGAACTGCTTTTATATTAACTTGTCCAGATGTTAATTTTCTTTCAACTATAGATTTTAGGCATTTAAGGACCATGAACATCTTTCGTCTCTTCCAGCACTTCAGTTCAGATAATTTTTTTAATGTCGTATCGAGATAAATTTGTTCCAATATTACTAAGAGCAAAGACCAAATTTGAAAAAAGGAAATTCAAACAAAATAAATCACAAGTTGAACTTAAAATCTAAATAGAAAAGGAAGGTTTTGAAAGTAATTTTCAAAGTGTATTGAAAAGTTCAACCAATATTTTTACAATTGGCTTTTTTTAAACATTCTATTTCCATTTTTTTATTATTATTTTTTTCCAAAAGTTTGCACCAATTTTTCTAAGTATTTTCCAGATTATATTTTTATGTTTTTCAGAATGCTCTGAATGGACGTCAGCAACAGCCTTTCTGTTGGTCTGCCCAAGACCAACTAGAAATCTAGAGGGTAAAATCTGGAAAACAGGGACATGAAAAGAATGTAACCCGTAAAACTCCACACATCAAAAAAATAAATAAAACTTATCTAAAAGAAAATTTGAAGAAAAACAGGAAAAAAAACCCACTGTATAATAAAAGAAATGAAACATGGGTTGGAGTTTTGGGTACACATTATAAAACACTCTTAACATTTTTCTGTTTTAGATGTTTTCAAAGATACATTTTTGCCAGAATATTCTTTAAAAACTCTTTTGTGAAAAAAAATATTCTTTGGTTTCAATAATATTGGAACAAGTTGCTCTCCATGTCAAAGAGCTTGACCCCTCTAAAGCACAAAAACTTCAGCACACAAACAGGATACTGAGAATGGAAATCACAAGGAGCAAAAAGCTCCTTAGGGTTAACAACAATCAGGCTGGACTGAATTGGCTAAATTTAATCTGAACATCCTCAACAGGTGAAACCATCCCTGATCAATCGCAGCTTTAAAGCAGGCATCGCTCTCATATCTGACTTTTTTATGTTGACAGCTATTTTTCTTTTACAAATATTTTTTTCTTGCCAATGTGTTGAGCTTAAAATCAGGTTGTTATTCTCATTTTTGTGAAAGTATCACTAATTTTTTATTAGCCTTAAGGCCCTTTGACAAACATCTGGGTTTTCTCTACAATGCATTTCATCACAGCCTCTGATTAAGCTGAAACTCAGAGAATTAAAATGAAAATATGCCGATTGCCTGACATTTAATAAGCGTACCACCAATGGGAAATGTGTTTTTAAACACATTTACCTCCTTATTTGCACATAAACATGAGGGAAGTGCTGTTAGAATGTGAACCCTGTAATGTTAAGACATCAGCTCGTCAAGGCAGGTCAACACCTTTTAGACCATTTCCAGTCTTGCTGTAGAATTTGGCGTCAACCTGAAAACAGTTGAGTCTATCACCTTTGGCGAAAAGTGGGCGAGTTAGCCCCTCCCTCCTCCAAAACACTGCAGCCCGTTTCTGCAGAGAAAGGAGCGACTCTTCTGTCATATAGAAAGCTTCCACTGATCCCCTCTGAATTAAAAAGTGAGATGTAAATATAATATTTGGTATTTTTTACACTGTCACACTAACGTAGATCATTCCTGCATCCAATTCATACACAACCTCATCCATTATGGGTCTCTGTCAACTGTCTTTCAATTGACTACCTGATAACATTAAATGTATTTAGATCCAGTTCAGGTTAAAATAACCTTCTGGAACACTAGAAATGTATTTGGACTATTTTTAATGACTTTCTGACTTGCTAATGTTGATGTACCAATAAGCAAATTATTTGATGACATCTGATTTAATTTTTTCTCCACAAAATTATAAAAGATGAAGTTACAAAGAAATTCAGAGGAATTATTTTAGTAGTGGGCATTTATCATGTCCAGGTGTTTAATATATTGTCTAAACAGTAAATTAGAATTAGTAATGTTTAGAAACTGAAAGTAATAACTTGAGTTTTATTTTACTTTTTTTTCTAATAGAGCCCTGATACATTCAATCAGCTTGTAGTTAAGTGATAAAAATCCCACTTCTTTATTTAAATGCTTCTTTATTGAGCAGCAGCATTTGTGAACCGTGGGGCTGATTATTACTGTGGGACGTCACCAGAGATGGCAAAAGTACTCACTTTCCGTACTTGAGTAAAAGTACAGATACTTGTGTTAAAAAATACTCTGGTAAAAGTGGAAGTACTGATTAAACTTCTTTACTCAAGTAAAAGTAACAAAGTACAGGCTTGTAAATTTACTTAAAGTATAAAAGTAAAAGTAGAAACCACTTTTTTCATGCCGTTGCCTACATTTTAAATGGATGTCTGCCAATAGGACTAGATCTCGTTGTGTTCATTTTCAATCATCTCGTCGTCCATGCTACTATGCTAACGCCACCGCCACCAAGCTGCAATGATTTGCCGCCAATGAATACCGCCGAATCTGTCGATTCATCTTGTAGTGGTGCGTCAAATGCAACGTAGATTCCCATCCAATTAGACTGAATTTGGTATTGATGACGTGAAAAATAATAACGGTAACTCCATTGAAATGATTCAAAACTAAAGTAACGAGCCAATTTTTTTAAAATGTAAGGAGTAGAAAGTACAGATATTTGTGTAAAAATGTAAGGAGTAGAAGTAAAAAGTCGCCATAAAAATAAGTAGTAAAGTAAAGTAAAAATAGAAAAATCTACTTGAGTACAGTAACGAAGTATTTGTACTTCGTTACTTCCCATCTCTGGACGTCACAGCCATAAAGTCATAAAGAAAGATGGTAAAGAAGTAGAGTTTTCTTCTTCTTTTTTCTGTCACTCTTATCCATTAGAGGATAGATAATATTTCAGTCCATATTGCCAACTGTACATGTAAAAACAGCAGGTTTATGATTCCTTTAAATATTTGGAAGGAATCTGTTGTAAAGCCATGAAGCTGTTTTATCACCAATAACTGATTATGATAGGATTTGTATTCTTGAATATGAAAACGTGAGTTCTGAAACATGGGATCAGACAGAGAGCAAGGAGTTCTGGGAGCGGGTTATTGGATTTGATGATTACTTCAATAATCAATAAATCACAGTTAATCTGGTTAATTTTTTTATTACAAACACAGCTATCATCTAATAAAATCAGAATCACGTATGTGGTGGATTTTTTTTTTTCTTTTTAGGTATCCAAACAAGTAATGGATTAAAACAGCAATGTAAAATTAGAATTTACTCTAGAGTTATCAGCCAGTGCTGCAGTTTAGGTATAGGATCATGGTTGTTTGTGATGCAAATGAATAAATGTAAGAAACGTTCCTCACCTGCCTGTCTAATAACTCCATGAAGGTTCTGAGTCTTGTTCTCGGTATCTCTTCTCTACCGGGGAACCCACTGCTTAGGCTGCCTGTTGACACAACTACATACAGAAACAGGGAAACAATCAGATTAACCAGTGGCAAAGACAGATGTGTGTTCAGCTTTGGTAGCTGCAAAGTTGCCTGAATCAAAACGTGTAAGTAAGAGGTTTGGAAATTGCTTCTAGATTGTTCTTCAAATTTTATCCAACATTTATGAATGAGGAACTCAGACGTGAAATAATAGAAATTTGGTTTAAAGACAACAAAGATAGATCTGAAGAGGAGGCTGCATTAAATGTTGGAAGAGTCTAAAACAGTGGAGCTGGTGTTAAATGTTCTGTAAAAATCAATAAACCAGGATCCCTTTTAAGTTAAAGTGATTACTGGTTTTGTCACCCTGCATTGTTGGAGTATAACTGTTATTATTTCATGTTGCTATACATTATGATGAAACTGCTGTATTCTGACAACCTGTAAATACAGAGCTCAGCATAAATCAGTATGACAACCACTCTCTTAAAGGTACACTATGCAACCGGTGTTGATTTTCCAGTGAGGCTCCCTCCAGAGGGCGAAAGTAAAAGTGCACTGTCGTAAATATGCTCAGCTGTTCTCCTGGTTTCTCCGTCAAGCCAGGCGCGGTTGTTTTGAGCTTAGCAGCGAATGACTAACGCTGCGTTCACACTGGATGTAGCTGGCGCGACAGAAGCAGCGAGTTTACATGCAAAGGTCCCGCAGCGCGTTTTGAGCTGCAGGCGCAGCACGTCTGAGCGGCTGCAGCAGCGCGTCGGGTGCGTTTAACGCAGGGAGAGAGACACAGCGCTGATGATCACTGCTCTTAAACAGTTTATTGACGCCTAAATTAACTTAAAAGGCAGAAATCTGCCGGCAGAATATGCAGTTTGGATTATTTAGATGAAAAACACCTACCAGCTGCCGCGGTGAACCGCTGCTGATGAAGGGATCCATACTGTCGGCGCATCCCTGGTATGTGGGGGTCTGAGCGGCTCCGACAGAAAAAATATTGAAGGCAGGATAATAATCTGGATGAACTGACGGCACTGATTACGTTTTCAGGTGTATTTTCTCACTTAAAAACATATTAAAACTACTTTATTCCCACTGATCACAGCAAATATAGCTGCAAGGCAGAGAAAGGATAGTGAAGCTCCGCCCAACGCGCCTCAGACACACTTTTGCAGCCAGAGCAGCAAAACTGCTTCAGCCGCGCGTCAGTACTAACTGGTACAAGCAGCAAAAATGAAGCAGCAGATGCGATTTTGCTGCTTTTGCTGCGTGAACGTAGCATAACTGCACAAAGATTGCCACTGTGCTTGCAACGAGAATGCTTTTAACTGGGGGGTGTAGCAGTTCTCGCCGTAAAGCAAGACTGACTCTCACGAGACTTCTGAGCCTGTGGGTGCGGGTCGGTGCTCCTGCAGTTGCAAGTGCAGTATTTCCCCCACAGACCACCAGGGCGGCCGAGAATACCTTTGTTCAACCTGAAATGACTCATTTAGTCATCCATAACGTTATGGAACACATTAATTAACTGAAAAATGTTGCATAGTGTCCCTTTAATAAACAAAAAAACCAAAGAGGGAGAAACCATGCCTAACTCCTATGAGAAAATCATGGTTAATAATGAAACTTGGATCATAAAATCCAAAATTCCAGGCATGGAAAGAACAAATGGAGACATGTCACATCATCTAACTTTTTCTCTTCTTCAAGTTCAGCCACTTTTAGAGCCTGCTGATCACTGACACCAGCAACCCCACATCAGTAAACAGCCACCCCCGTGTTTCGCTGCAGGCGTCATATATTTTTCTATAAATTCCTCACCTTTGAGATGCCAAACAGGTTTGAAGCCATCACTTCCTCAAACTGTGATCTATGTCTTGTCACTCCAGAGCAACAATACTCTTCATCTTTTTAGCGGGAGCTCTGGCAAATCCTGGGCTTTTTTTTGTGCAAGGGCTTTAGGAAAGGCTTCTTTCATGGACGATACCCATGTGGGCCATTCCTCTGCAGTATGGTGTCACAGGAAGCAGTTTGTCCACTTGTTTTGTTACTTCTTTAGCTAACTGCTGCACGTTCACTTACCCTCAGTTGACGGCCTGGACACCAATGTAAGGTGACTGCATTTCCATCCTTCCTTCACTTCCTGGATCACTTTTGTTCAGTATTCTGACTAATATTTAAAGCTTTGCTGATCTGCCTTTTCTTTTATATGTATTTGGTTTTTTCTTTCCAAGGTTTTGTGACATTATTTCCATTGTTCTATCATTACTGAGACCATGAAACGGGGAGAGGTTTTCTTGGTTAGGTGGAACCTTTTAATAGAACACCTGGTTTTATCTGTCTTAATTAGATTTTTTTTTTTACTTTTCTCTAAAGATTTTAATCAGGCTGCAATTAGTTTTGCAACAAGGGCTTACATGAATTTTTTGGGGGAAAACACTTTTATTTATTCAAATAATTAATAATAATTTAACTTTATTGATCTCACATTAAAGAAAAATTTAATTAATTCAAATCTCTGCATTTAACCCATTTCCTTGTGGAGCAGTGAGTTGTCATTGTGTAAGCAAATATTGTTTCAAATTAGTGACTAAAATATTAATTAACAAATAATTAACAATGAATACTTTATTTGATTAAAATTTTTGTCGTCCAATTAATTTATAACGGGAATTTCTCTCAGTATTGTAATGTTACCACAAAAGAAGCAATGCTGGAGTGGAGCCATATAATAGAAATAATTTATATATTATTCCGACTGGAGTCTCTAATCGATATTATTAAAAAAAAAAACACAGCTTATATGATATTTTGTTTTTGAACCATCCATTACAATCCTTCCTCATCTTAACTAACGTTCCTTCACTGCTCCCTGTGGTGTTTGTACCTTCTGTTTCTTCCTCTCAGCAGTATTCGCTTCTCCAGTCGGTACCCAGGAAGTTTTCCCAGTAGATGCGAGCCGAAGATGTCGTCAGGCTAGAGGTAACATTTAAATGACATAAAGAAGCCTCCTAAACGACGAAAAAACAGCCTAGCATCTTTTTGTTTTTAGCTGCCCGGACGGATTACAAAGTTACACTGGAAACATTTCCCATCACTGTAGTTCCGCTCTCATGATTAGGCGGTTGTTTATTTTTGTTTATCTGTTTATGCTTTACTGAAACACCATGTTTCAGAATTACAGAGTTAACTGCTCATGAACTTTTTTTTCTCAATAGAGAAAATCTCCTCATAACTGATAAACTAGCTCTTTGTGTGATACCGCTGGCTGCTAAAATTTAGTTTGTTATATTTTCATTGTTTTGAATCATTATTATTTTACAGGCATGTCTCAGAGATTGAATTATGATGCTCTTAAAATAAATTAAATTTAATAATATTAATTGAACTTTATTGATCTCACATTGGAGAAATTTTCCTCTGCATTTATCCATCCCTTTGGGGAGCAGTGGGCTGCCATTGTGGGGCGCCCAGGGAGCAATCACAATTTGGCTCCCTTCTCACTGCAAAAAAAGCTGTGTGTCAACTCTGCAACTCGGCAAGCTATGTGTCCTCTGTCTCTCCGCCGCTACGTGTCTGGTGACAGCATCACACTGTGTTAGCTTTGATGATAGGGGTGTAAATCACACCAGTTTTGCTGGTTTGCTTCTGCAACGTCGGTCTGGAATTTCTAGGGACGCACAGCAGTTTCCCGCCAAAGGGGGAGCCTATTTGAGAACTTGCTAGAACTACGGCAGATGGTCACGAGAACTTCTTCAGCGGTGCCGGCGGGAGTGTTTATTTTTCAACGCAACATGTCTGAGGCATCGTACAAGTGGTTGTACTTCCAAACCTCCTCGATCGACTTTTCGTCATGTTTATCCACTGTTGTTATTACTCCTTGGTTTTTAAAAATAGCTCTCCCCGCCACCGAAACGAGAAGGACGACCACATAGACAGCCGGGAAGGCGTACCAAGGACCAGTCACAGCTGCTTTTTGTCTGCGCACTTCCGCTTCAGGTCTGCGCGGGTTTGCGACCGTCAGACGTGTAGTCAGGAATTTTTTGAGGTATGCAACGACGGTTGCAAAACCTCTGCGCGGGGGGCGTGGTCTCACACAGAGACAGATTTGACGGTTGTAGAGGCTGTGTGTCAGAGGTATAAATTAGCCTTAAGAAACAGAGAGCAACATGTTTGGAAGCCAGGGCATAGTCACCGTGCTTTGTTGTTTGTTCTTCTGTCTGTCTGAATCCCTCTTACCAGCGCTGCGCCATGTTTAACAAATGTAAACAGAGTTGTTTCGGCTTGTTAGATCAGACTTGGCTGTCACTTTCTGTTGAGGTCCGTATGTTGTTTAATAGTGTCACATAATTTAGTGTGTCAACCCAGCTCTGGTGTTCCCACAGCATGCCGTTCAGAGCCGGGGCGATTTCAACGCATGTCGCTTGCCGAGTCATTTGACCCGGGTAGACACGTTTCAGTGAGTTGTTCCCACTGTCACTAAAAGCCAATATTCCCAGGTTTAAATTGGTTTTTCGGCCAGTGTGAAAGGGGTATGAATAATGTTTGAGTTGCGCTCCCCCTACAGGACCTTTTGAAAATAGCACTGCTTTAAACACTGAGCTGTTCAGCACCTCACAGCTTCCATCATAGCAGCTAGATCAGGGGTCTTCAGTCTTTTCCAGGCCAAGGAGCCCCAAACTGATGGCGAAATGGAGCGGGGACCCCCTAATTTTATATATTGTTTGAAATTGTGTTATATCAAACTGGTCCTATAGTCACTCTATTAAAGATGAAGTAATGTAAAGAAAGTAATTTCACCCTGTGATTATTAAAGTATTTCTGATTGTGATTCCTCGTTGATGGGACAGGTGTCGTGAATGAAACGGTGCCCAGCTTGAAAGAGCTCCTGTGTGTTGCTGAATGTGTGAATTGATGACTGAAAGACATCTTCTGCTTCCATTTATCTGTTTGTATACGATCAAGTAAAATTATAAAATCAAATACAAACAGCATAAAAATAAAACAACAAGCCGGTCCCATCTAGGCATAATCGGAGAAAATGACAGACGAAGTGTGCTCCTGATGTCCAGTCTGCTCCGTAGCTTTGTTTTGGTCGCTGTAACCGCAGAAAATCCCGCTTCACAAAGATAGGATGTTATAGATAGGATGCGTCTTGAACTGAATTAACCTGTGTCAAGAGGCACAGATGCACTGACTGATGTAATTGGGAAAGAATACCGCAATGTTTTATATTTTTCAAAATAAAACATCACTCAGACTCTGATCGTCGATAAATTATGTATATATATATATATACTTTTTACTGTGCGGCCCCATACCAAATGACCCACGGACCGTTACCGGTCCGCGGCCCGGTAGTTGGGGACCGCTGCTCTAGTGTATAGCAGCCTTTTTGCTGGAAATAAATAAGTCTGTCTCTCAATTGAACCATTTTTTTTTAATTGCTCTCAAAAGGTGATTTAGGCCTCTACATTTTTTACAGATTCATGCGACAAATCGGTGACCCTAAAGTCATAACAGTAACACTAGTTAAAAGAGATTAGCAGATATGGCTCTTAAAATTCTAACTACATTGCCAGGTCTGCAGCAGTTTTTATCCTCTTGTTGAAGGAGTAAATATCTTGCCTGAATTTAATTAAATTCAGTTTATTTAAATCATGCCAACTAATGCTAGATGTTCACTTGCATTTTGTCATTCACCCTTGCTAGAGTCCTGTCCCGAACTGATTTATGTTTTCTCTTCCTTCCCTCTATTGACAGAGACTCGTCTATCCGGGAGCCAAACGAGTAGAAGAGGATTACGAAGCTCACTAGACTGAAACGCACTGCCTTTTCTTCTGAGAGGAATAAGAAGAATCCCTTTTTGTGCATGCCCACTGAAAGATTTGCCAACGACGGCCAACTGAAAATCAAGCATGTATGATTTTCTCCTGACCTCATGATTCCTGATCGGGAGATGGTCTGAGAGGCTGATCCTCCATTGTTACCCCCTGCACTACAGGATGCACGACGCACGATCAGGCTGAAAGTCAGCCGGATCGAAAAATTCTCGCACTACTGCAAAGTTGGCCCAAAAAGGGCAAAAAATTGCTCAGTGTAATCCTGGTTTAACCAGAGGCACAAGAAATTGTAGGTCTAGGTCTTCCAACCAGAGCCACTAGAGGGAGACAAGAGTCCTCTCAATCGCTTATAAATTCTTAGATCAACATTAGAGGGATTAGAATAGGATTTAATGACATAAAAATATGACTTAGTGCCGCTTAAAGGGAGAAAAAAATGTATTATTAGGATTTTGTCTGTATATCTTCTATCTGTCTGATGAGGTGAATGTGATCCCCTCATCATCTGTTGGGGTAACGGCATCAGAGTAAATAACTGACAAGTGAATCTTCTTCAAAAAAGGAGTTCAGTAACTGCTGCGCCATCATCTTGACTGAATCGTGGCTTCATTCATCGATACCGGACAATGCTATTGGCCTCGAGGGCCTCATACTGTACCGTGCTAACAGAAACGAACTAAGCAGTAAGACTAGAGGTGTTGGGCTCTGTGAACAGCTGGTCTAAAAATGCTAGATCAGACATTGAGTTTCTGAATGTTAACTGCAGACTCTTCTATCTACCCACAGAGTTTAGTGTGGTTAGCATTACTGGTGTTTACTTGCCCCCCAGTGCCAATACAAAAGAGGCTATGAAGACTGTAGAAAGCTATCTCTGAGCTTCAATTGCACTCAGAGGGCGTTTTCATCATGGCTGGGGATTTCAACCAGGCTAACTTGAAGACTGTGCTCCCTCATTTCTACCAACATGTAGACTTTGCAACTCTGGGTGAAAACATTTTAGACTTGGTTTACTCTAATATCAAAGATGCATTTACAGCAGCACTCTGCCCCCACCTGGGGTCAACAGATCACCTTTCTGCTAATTCCTAAACCAAAAGTTAAAGAAGGAGACACTCCAAGATTGTTTTGAATGCTCTGATTGGAATATGTTAAAAGCTGCAGCAACCCATGGCAAAAAAATAAAAATAGATGAGTATGCAATGACTATGTCAGCCTACATCAACAAATGCATTGAGGATGTCAGCATCACAAAGAAAATCACCACCCGAGCAAACCAACGACCCTGGAAGAATGGGGAGGTACAGAAATCGATAAAAGCACGGGACTCTGCACTGAGAACAGCGCGTGCCTACTTGAACCGTGCCATCAGATCAACAAAGCAGAACCACATCCAGAAGATCCAGGATCTCTTCCATGATGCAAGCAACACCAGGAGCATGTGGCAGGACATACGGGTGATCACAGACTACAACACACGTTGCCCCCGGTAGATGCAGATAATGCTGACTTCCTAAATGAAATAAACAACTTATTTGGATGTTTTAGGCACTAAACAGCACTCCAGCAGTGAAAGCAGTTCGAAACCACAGGGAGGAGGCACTCAACCTTGACATAGCTGAAGTGAGAAAAACCCTCACTTAACATACCTGGGCAGGTGTACAAGGCGAATGTGCAGGTCAGCTGTCTGGTGTTCTCAGAGACATTTTTACCACCTCGCTGGACCAATCCATAGCATGCTTTAAATCTGCCACCATCATCCTGGTCCCAAAGAAGCCTCAAGTCACCTCACTCAATGATTACGGCCTGTCGCACTGACTCCTATCCTGAAGAAGTGCGCCATCTCTGCTGCTCTCTACCTGAGCCAGGCACACTTGGAGGAGAAGAACACCCATGTGCGGATGCTGGTTCTGGACCTCAGTTCAGCTTTCAACACCATCAACCCACAGCATCTGATGGCAACTGAAACAGCAGGCATTCAATACACCCCTCTGCAACTGGCTGCTAGACTTCCTCACCAACAGACCTCAGTCAGACTGAACACCTCTGATGTCATCACCCTAAGCACAGGCTCCCCTCAGGGCTGCTGTGGAGGATGAGGAGAGCTTACCTGCCCCCACCCATCCTCACCACCTTCTACAGAAGCACTATAGAGAGCGTTCTGACCAGCTGTCTCTCTGTGTGCTGTGGAGGCTGCAGCGCCTCAGACTGGAAGAAGGTGAGAAGA